CCCATCACATTCCCATCCATCGTCCGCCCCCCCCCCAAATGGAACCCGCTGTCCGGATTAAACCTTCCTCACTACTTGCCACTGTCTGCCGTACCTTCCCAAACGTACCTGTTGACGTCTCGTAAGCTTCTCGTCTCTCCCCTCCTCCTCCTCTCTTTCTCTCTCTTGCCGTCATCGTAACCTCAACTCTCCCTTACCCTCCCGTACCTTATACCCTCTTATCCTCTTCTCTCTTCCTCTCCGCCCTGTTTTAATTACCCTCCAGATCCGTTCTGTTGAGCTCTCTCTCTTGTTGTCTGATTGTCGCCTTAGAACCTTACTCTCTATTCGCTGCACGCACACATACGACACACGACACACACATTGACACATACATCCACACACCTGCAGCGAGCCAGCAACCTTCCTCCACACCTTCGCATCGTCATCAAAAATCACTGCACTGCTGCCCGCCCGCTATTGGGCATATCCGCCTATTCATATCCGTCTGGCCTGTCTCCATCCGGCCACGATGAACCAGTCCCGCGCCCACTCTTGAGAATTCCGAAGTTCACACGGCCCTGGCATGAATCACATCACCCTCCCGCTCTCTGCCTTCCAATTACCTACCGATATACCCCAGACCTGCTTCCGTGCCGCCCATGGACGACAAGTCATCAACCGATCCTCTCGGTGCTCCTGTCGACCAGGAGCCTTCCCCGATGACAATGGCCGCCAATGACCCGCCGCGACGACGACGAGAACGACAAGAACAGCAGCCCGCTGCTGCTGTTGCTGCCGACGCTGCCGCCACCGGTGTCTCGACAGAGCCAGCACACCCTACACCCCGGACCGACAAGGCCTCGCTTCCGTCCACCGGCCCCGACGTCACAGCACGCACACCGAGAAACCCCAGCAGGGAGCCATCCCCGGGACGCAACTCGCGCCGCGCAGCCTCGATCAGTCGTCTCAGCAGCGCTAGCTCGCTCGGATCCAGAAGGGCCAGCCAGCAGCAGGACATCAGTCCCACCCGCCAACCTATGCGCCAAGGAGTTATGCCTCCCCGCAAGTTCTCCGCCAGGAGTCTTTCAGCTGCCACGATCCCCTCCCTCCCTCCCAAGAACCAAGAGACGACACAGATACAGTCACCTATGCCCCGGAAACCCATCGCCTCTGACTTGAGGGAGGACCCTCGGTGGCCTGTTTCCCCTCGTTTGAAGTCGCCGCCACCCCACCCCAACAACAACAACAACAACAGCAGCAGCAGCAGCAGCAGCAGCAACAGCAACAGCAACATCAGCAATGACACCGCCACGTCAGGTAACAACGGCAACAACAACGCTTCGACCCCGTCCGCCATACGTCAGCAGGAACCGTCACCCATCAACGTCCCCAGATCTAGCCCATCTCCCCTGCTCACATCGGACTCCCAGAACACCACATCAGGGAGTGATACCGAGGACTCACAGACCCAGTCAGGCCTCAGGACGCCAGCCCGGGCCTCCCTCGAGACGGTGCAGGAGGTCAGCCTTCCCAGCTCACCCAGTGTTGCCGGCGACGCTGTCATCGCCCGCATGGATGAGAGGCTTGCGCATGAATCCGACAGCGTGTTCAGCGAGGAGCAGACCCCCCGGGCTAGGCCGAGCATGTCCATCGTCTACGGAAGCCAAGACAGGGACAGCGGAAGTGATACCGGCAGCTACAGACCTGACCCGATTCGCCGGCCCACATCGGTACCTCCCCCGCCCATGGTTCAGCGCCAGTCCGGTTCCGTATCCAAGGCTCCTAATCCGTCTCAGAACATGACGGTCGAGACGGAGACGGTCGCGAGCATCCCCCAGGTGGCCCTTACCGTCACCAAGAACGAGGCCCTCAGCAACTTGCTGAAGACGAAGCCGAGCACGGAGACTATCAAGCCTCGGAAGGAGAAGAAGAGGACGTCGCGGAAACAGTCCACCGTCGGCACTGGAAATGGTGAGACTACATCCACACTTTTTTATTATTATCATTATTATTACCATACAAAACCCCCACCCCACCACACCCACACATCTCTCGCCCGATACCTACTTCCTTTTTCGCCCTTGCTGACCTTGTATGATCTCCAGCCTCCTCCAAATCCGACATCTTCGAGGCCAAGGTTGCCATTGCCATCGACGAGGCCAACACGTCTGACTCTGACGAGACCTTTGTCTACGACTCCAACCCCCCAGACGGCAAGGACCGCTCATCACGACGATTTCACTCGCGGACCCCGAGCGCCACATCCATGGTCAGCCAAGCTGACCGCCAGAATCTGCGATCCATCTACGGCATCATGGAGGCCGGGCCAGCTCACGCGCCCAAGAAGGGCATGAAGTTTGTCAACTCGGTCAATGCTGGGAGTGGAGGCGAGAGTCTGAACCTCGACGACGACGGCAAGGGGACCGGTCGAAGCATGGGTGGCTCAGGCAGAGGCACGGCCCGCCACCATCACCACATCGGCCGGTGGGGCCGCCAGCCCGGCAACGGTCACCCCTCGCTCTTTGACAACGAGTCCCCCTTTGCGGGATCGACCAAGCCCAAGGTCAACGGGCAGTCGCGGAACTCGTCGGGCCCGTCGTCGAGCCCTAGGAACCACCACCACCACCGCCACCACCACTCGGGCCTGAACCACAAGCGTTCCAACTACCAGCTGTCCAGCTACGATGCCGACGATACGGGCGGCGGTGCCGACGACGAGCGCACCCCTCTCATGGGCTCGATGAACAATAGGACTGTTCGCGCCCGCCGTGGCCCCCACAGCCTCCGGCAGGCCGAATCGCAGTCATTTGAGCGCCGGCCCTCTTACCTGACGAGGTTTGCGGCCTGTCTCGTCCTGACCATGATGTTCCTGCTCGTCATCACGGGAGCAATCGGCCTCATGTTTGCCACTTCGCAGCCCATGAGCAACATTGACATCGTCTCTATCGGCAATGTCGTCACCAGTGAGCAGGTTCTCATGTTTGACCTGACGGTCAGAGCGCACAATCCCAACATTGTCGTCGTTACCGTGGACCATGCCAACCTCGAGATCTTTGCCAAGTCAGAGCATGCGGGCACAGACTCTGAATGGTGGAAGATGCCTCGGGGGCCCGACGAGATGCATACCCTCGACGACCCCATCAACGACCCGCCGCTGGACGATGACGACGGTCACGGTGGCCGCGGTGGCCACCACGAGCACGACGGCGATGACGAGCAGTCGAGACCCAATGTGCTGCTCGGGCGCGTCACGCAGTTTGACAGTCCCCTCACCTTCGAAGGATCCCTCTTTCACAAGGGATACTCGACGTCGACCGGTCAGATGCAGCTACCCTACCCCGGAAACAGCACGTCCGGCGGGTCGGAGCGGTGGGAGCGCATCTACCAGGACGAATTTGACCTCATCGTCAAGGGTGTGGTCAAGTACACCCTTCCTCTGAGTGCTCGCATCCGCAGCGCAACAGTCGCCGGTCGTGCCCACGTCGACCCCAACTCGGCCAACGACCCGACGTTGCAGCCGAATGGGACGGCTGAAGTCCTCACCCAAGACGCATGACCCCTTTTCCTTTGTCCCACTTTCCCTTTGCCTTTTTATGCCTCTCCTCCTTTACGCTACGAACACCACTACTACCCTCACGGGGACTTTGTATTGTGCACGCGCGCATATCATCATTTCAGCGTTGCATGGCGTCCATCCACCTTTTCTTCTTCTTTTTTTTCCCCCAAAGGAGTTTGTCCAGGATATCCTTTTTTTTTAATCTTGTTCTTTGCTTTTTTCTATTTTTCATGACCAGTAAAAAGATGCCCTACTTCCAGCCCTGTTTGTCTGGGATATGATGAGGGCATTGATTATTTTTTCCCTCTCCTTCTATCTTCTTATAATAAGCGATTAGAATTCTTCGGGTTCAATGTTTTCTTTTCTTTTTTTTTTTTTTTTTTTKYTTTTTTTTTYTKTTYTTKAAAGGATGGGGTAGTTGGGTTGGTAGATAAATTACCATTGCCTGTATTTGTAACGGCCTTGACGACAACACCAAAAAATATATACACGAGACAGAGAGATGGGAAATATGATTGGGAAGAAGGATACCAGCGAGATTGATAGCAAGAAGATATACCACATTGGAAGGTGCTGATGCGTTTTCACTCCCTCTGTTCTTTGATGAAACCCGTAAAGATGCTCTGGTTAAGTGACAGCATAATTGGACCATGTGATTTTGATGTGATTCACGCAAAGACGAATATGTATTAAACAGTCAAAGACATGTAAAAATATAATAATAATAATAATGGCTGAAATCCCCTCTTTAAACGCCATTCGCCTCTTTTTCTTGTTCCCTCGTTTTCCCAGTACACGTCCTGAACCGCCCCCCCCCCCCAAATCTTGTTGTATTTCTTCATTACCCCGTGATGATTGAGAGTACATGGGGTATATGGGGTATATGGGTGGCATTACTATGAGAAATGAATACCCTCATCGTTAAAGGCCTGGAGCAGACGCAAGAAGTCATTCTCGTCACACTTCCCGGCACGCTTATCGGCGAGGTCAGTGACATCCTCCAGACAGTGACGGATCTTTTCGCGGACGAGCTCTGCGACCTTTGTCTTGACTCTCTTGCTCTTCGTCTTGGGGGCGCTGTACCCGGTCGGGGCGGAGGAGGAAGAAGAGAAGAAGTCGGGCACGGCATCCTGATGCAGGCCGGCGTCGACATCCACGTCCTCGTCGTCGACAGGATCCATGTCCACATCGTCGTCTTCGTCATAGTCGTCGTGGCCGTCGCGGTCGTCAGCATTCTCGACGGGCGACTCATCGATGGCGACGCCGTTGATGGCGCACCAGGTGCGGTAGTTGCGCTCGACCATGGCGAGGACGTCCTTTGTGCCGAGCCAGTTGGCACGGAGGGTCTTGTTCTTGCGTACGAAGCAGACGCGCAGCAGCCCGTCCCACTCGTCCCAGCTGATGTCCGGTCTGTCCCTGCCGGTCTTGGGCTCGATCCTGACGACGGACGACTCGACCTGGGGCGGCGGGCGGAAGTTGTTCCGGCCGACCTTCATGATGTGGGTGATGCGGGCCCAGAACTGGGCGTTGACGGAGAGACGGCAGTACAGGGAGTCGCCCGGGCGGGCGGTCAGGCGCAGGGCGAACTCGCGCTGGAACATGAGGACCGACGTCCGCGGCGGGTTCGGCATGGACAGCAGCTTGAAGACGAGCGGGCTGGAGATCTGGTAGGGCGTGTTGGAGATGCAGACGTCAAAGGCCGGAAGGTCCGTCTTGATCACGTCCCCCAGCATCACCTCCAGCTTCTTCTGCTCCGGCGTGCCCTGCACCCGCTTCGTCACCTCGGCCGCCATGCGCGGGTCCAGCTCGACGCAGATGCAGCGCCGGGCCCGCTCCAGGATGCGCACCGTCAGGTTGCCCGTCCCCGGCCCGACCTCGAGCACGGTGTCGGTAGGCTTCAGGTAAGCCTTGTCCACTATCGCTTCCGACACGCCCGGGTTCTTCAAGATGTGCTGTCCGAAGTTGGTGTTGAACTTGAAGACGTTGTTCTTGGCCGCCGAGTTGCTGTTGGCGTTGCTGTTGGGTCGATCGTACGGCGTCGATGAGGAACGTGGCCGCTTGGTTTGCTTTGCTTTTGCCATCTTGACCGGTTTTCTTCTTCTTCTTCTTCTTCTTCTTCTTATTTTCCTTCAAGGGCTCTGTGTGGGCACGTGTATGCGTGTGTGTGTGTGTGTGTGTGTGTGTGTGTGTGTGTCTGTCTGTCTGTCTGTCTGTCTGTCTGTCTGTCTGTGGCTTTGTCGAGAGCGTCTTGTTCGTTTACAGAATTTATGTGGTCGTGGGGGTTGAGGCAGTCGATGAGGGGAGTGGTGGACAATTTTTCGTTCTTTACTTTCTGTGTATTATCGATAAGGATTCAGAGGCAGAGAGAGAGAGAGAAAGGGAAAAAAAAAAGTGGATTTTGAGCTGTACTTCATGTTACTGTATAGGATCAAGAGGATTCAAGACATCAACCCACGTAATTCTCTACTGAATGGAAATGGATCTCTTGGGTTCTCCAGGGTGAAGAACATCATTGTTTCATTATGAGAAAAAAAATATTTCTGCATGATCTGCATTTGCTGCATTATTATCAGTCTAATAATAACACCGTACGTCTAGAAGCTGCTCGTACTTAGTAATACTACATAAACGAGTAATCTGTACATGTTTTTGTGTATTGCAGAGACCCCCCCGTAAATTGTAATAGTTGACATTCCCAAGGAAAGCCTGACGTTGACGCCTTTCCACGAGTGGATCCCGTCGTCACTGGAAAACAGCACGTCTTTCCGCCTTCTTTCCCTACGAAAAAAACAACATCTTCTCCCCCCTCCGCTTCAGCACAACCACGCAGTCACGCAGCCACGCAGTCACGCAGTGGGACTGTCAACATGACGACCAGACGCGACTTCCTGAGTCAACCGGCTCCCGAAAACTACGTCGCAGGTCTGGGTCGAGGAGCTACGGGCTTCACTACCCGATCCGACCTGGGCCCGGCCCGCGACGGACCGAGCGAGGACCAGATCAAGGAGGCCCTCGCCAAGCGCGCCGCCCAGATCGGCCTGGCAGCTCCCGACGGCGCTAAGAAGGGCGGCAAGAAAGACGAAGAGGACGATGGCGGCGACGATGACAACGAGCGGTACCAGGACCCGGACAACGAGACCGGCCTCTTCGCCGGCGGAGTCTACGACAAGGACGACGAGGAAGCCGACAAGATCTGGGACTGGGTGGACCAGCGCATGGACAGGAGGAAACGGCAGCGCGAGGCCCGCGAGGAGGCAGAGCGCCAAGAGTACGAGCGCAACAACCCCAAGATTCAGCAGCAGTTCAGCGACCTCAAGCGCGCGCTCGCCACCGTCACCGATGACGAGTGGGCCAACCTGCCCGAGGTGGGCGACCTGACGGGCAAGAACCGACGGAGCAAGCAGGCCCTGCGCCAGCGCTTCTACGCCGTCCCCGATACCGTCCTGGCCGCCGCGAGGGACTCGACCGAGCTGGGCACCACCGTGGCCGACGACGGCGCCGCCTCTTCGTCCCACGACGCCGCCAACGGCACCATGACCAACTTTGCCGAGATCGGCGCCGCCCGCGAAAAGGTGCTCAAGTCGAGGCTCGAGCAGGCGTCGCAGGGCGGTGACGCCGGCGGCGGCAGCTCCACCAGCATCGACCCCCACGGCTACATCACCAGCCTCAACAAGATGCAGATCCCCGAGTCGCAGGCCCAGGTCGGCGACATCAACAGAGTGCGCGAGCTGCTCCAGTCGGTCGTCAAGACCAACCCCAACAACGCCCTCGGCTGGATAGCCGCCGCTCGACTCGAAGAGCTTGCCGGCAAGATCGTGTCGGCGCGCAAGACCATCGACCAGGGCTGCCAGCGCTGTCCCAAGAGCGAGGATGCGTGGCTCGAAAACATCCGGCTCAACCACGACTCGCACAATGCAAAGGTCATTGCCAGGAGGGCCATCGAGGCTAATGGCCGGTCGGTCAAGCTCTGGGTCGAGGCCATGAGGCTCGAGAGCCTGCCGGCCAACAAGAAGAGGGTGATACGCAAGGCGCTCGACTACATCCCCGAGTCAGAGGCGCTGTGGAAGGAGGCCGTCAACCTCGAGGAGGACCCGGGCGACGCCAAGCTGATGCTGGCCAAGGCCACGGAGCTGATACCGCTATCGGTGGACCTGTGGCTGGCGCTGGCGCGGCTGGAGACTCCCGAGAACGCGCAGAAGGTCCTCAACAAGGCGCGCAAGGCGGTGCCGACGTCGCACGAGATCTGGATCGCGGCGGCGCGCCTCCAGGAGCAGCTGGGCGCCGGCGAAAAAGTCAACGTGATGAAGCGCGCGGTGCAGGTGCTGGCCAAGGAGTCGGCCATGCCCAAGCGCGAGGAGTGGATAGCCGAGGCGGAGCGGTGCGAGTCGGAGGGCGCGCTGGTGACGTGCCAGAACATCGTGCGGGAGACGCTGGGGTGGGGCCTGGACGAGGACGACGACCGCAAGGACACGTGGATGGAGGACGCGCGCGGCAGCATCAACCGGGGCATGTACGAGACGGCCAAGGCCATCTACGCGTACGCGCTGCGGGTCTTCGTCAACAGCCGGACCATGTGGACGGCGGCGGCGGACCTGGAGCGCAACCACGGGACTCGCGAGTCGCTGTGGCAGGTGCTGGACAAGGCGGTCGAGGCGTGCCCCAAGAGCGAGGACCTGTGGATGGCGCTGGCCAAGGAGAAGATGCAGGCGGGCGAGGTGGACGGGGCGCGGCTGGTGCTCAAGCGGGCCTTCAACCAGAACCCCAACAACGAGGACATCTGGCTGGCGGCGGTGCAGCTCGAGTCGGAGAACGACAACGAGGATCAGGCGCGCAAGCTTCTCGAGATTGCACGCGAGCAGGCGCCCACGGACCGGGTGTGGACCAAGAGCGTCGTGTTCGAACGGGTGCTCGGCAACACGGAGGCGGCGCTGGACCTGACGCTCCAGGCGCTGCAGCTCTTCCCGGCCGCGGCCAAGCTGTGGATGCTCAAGGGCCAGATCTACGAGGACCTGGGCAAGACGGGCCAGGCGCGCGAGGCGTACGGGACGGGCGTCAAGGCGGTGCCCGGTTCGGTGGCGCTCTGGCTGCTGTACTCGCGTCTGGAGGAGAGGTCCGGGCTGACGGTCAAGGCGCGGTCGGTGCTGGACCGGGCGCGGCTGGCGGTGCCCCAGGACGCGCAGCTCTGGTGCGAGTCGGTCCGGCTGGAGCGGCGGGCGGGCAACACGGCGCAGGCCAGGTCGATGATGGCGCGGGCGCTGCAGGAGGTGCCCAGGAGCGGACTCCTGTGGGTCGAGCAGATATGGCACCTGGAGCCGCGGACGCAGCGGAAGCCGCGCTCCCTCGAGGCCATCAAGAAGGTCGACAACGACCCGACCCTGTTCGTCGCTGTGGCGCGCATCTTCTGGGGCGACCGCAAGCTCGACAAGGCCCAGAACTGGTTTGAAAAGGCCCTCGTGCTCGACAGCGACCGCGGCGACAGCTGGGCCTGGTACTACCGCTTCCTGTGCCAGCACGGCACGTCTGAGAAGAGGGCCGACGTCGTGACAAAGTGCGTTCTCAACGAGCCGAGGCACGGTGAGGTCTGGCAGGCCGTCGCCAAGGATCCCAAGAATGCGAGGAAGAGTGTCGAGGAGATTCTGAAGCTGGTGGCGGCCCAATTGGACGAGTGAGGATGGAAAGCGAGGAGAGGGGAAAAAGAAGAAAGAGTCAATTGTATATACGGCGTACGGTTCAATGTATTACTATTAGAGATGCTATGTGACGTGGATGGGACATGTCCAGATCGTCGGGAAATCAATCATTAACGTCACTTTGCCATGTGTTATTTGGTCAGTTTGCACCGTCACTTCTGTCAGGTAATGCATCTGATCAAGTATAATGTTTTTTTTGTGAGTGCTGCTGGTTTTATATCTCGTTGATATTTATGGTACAGAAAGTACAAGTGATGAGCGTACTCGTAGTATCGACATTGACAGATTATTTCCCACTGCCAAACCACCCCTTCGCCTTGGAAGCGCCCTCCTCGACCTTGTTGTCAAACTTGTCGACAGCCTTGAGGGCCTCGGCCTTGGCATCCTTTGTGTAAGCCTGGACTTCGCTCTTGGCCTGTGAGGCACGTCGGTCTGCGTCGGAGACCTGAGATGGATGTTAGTTAGTCAGTGCACGCACGTCATGGGACATGACTATGACGGCTCTCCATCTCTGGGAGAAGAATCTCTCAGGGGAAAAGAGAGACAGGCGAAAGTTACGATAATGAATAAAGTAGAAACATAGGAGAGAAAAAAGTGGGGGGGGGGAGAAGAGAGAGAGAGAAACATACAGCCTTGTCAATCTTGGAACCAACTTCAGCACCGTATTGCTTGCCTTGCTTCTCGGCGTTGGGCGAGTTACCGGGGACATGGGACTTGACTGATGCCGATGCGCGATGGACGTCGCCTATATGCGAAGTTAGTGTCGGGTGGAATGGGTAAGAAGAGCTTGGTTGGTAGGGTAGGGTACGCACTTTCGAACTTGTTCTCTGCTGCTTTGGCGTTGCCGCCTGCTTTGTAAAAGTAGTAACCTACACCACCTGCAGCGCCTAGGCCGAGGACGAGAGGCATGCGAGACTTGGACATTGTGGGTGATGGGGTGTATGATATACTGGAGAGAAGATAGAGAGAGAGAGAGAGTGTGTGTGTGTGTAGGTGGGTAGGTGGTAGACGACCGGTGGTGATGTATGTGTGTGTGTATGTGTGTGTGTGTGTGTGGGAGGAAAGAGGAGGGGAAGGAAGAGAGGAGAAGAAAAAGAAGAGGTTCAATACTTATTTAAAAGGACTGGAAAGAGGGAGAGCTACAGTCCAACAGCCAGGAAAATATGGCGTGGTTGACGTATTGAACTTGTAGAGGTGGGAATACAGAGTGGTGACGTGATGGTAACCCGTTTTCGGCAGGAACGCCCCGCACTTTTTGCCTTGCGCCTTCTTTTCCGGAACAGAACCCAAGGGACGAAGGAACGGAGGAACGTAATGAAAGCGATGGATTCTACTTTACTCTTATGCACAATTCATCATTGCTCACAGCTACCAACCAATACCAACCAATACCAACTAACAGCTTCTAGTTGGTACATGCAACCTGTAGAAGCCGTACATATATAATGCCCAGCGTCACTACTACCACATCTTACCACCTGTACACGTTACCGGGCCGGGGTGGAGTTATACGCTACCGGTCATTAGCAACTCACTTCTCCGTCATCCTCCCCTGCAGCACCCCACACCATCGCCGCCCTCCCGAACCCCATCAGGGCCACGCTCCACACCAGCGTCCCGCAACCCATGACGGCCCCCTTGGCCGCGCGGCTCCCATCTTCGCCGTTCCCGACCGCACTGGTACTGCTACCGGTGCACCGCGCCGCCACGGTCACGGCCGTACCCGTCGCCAGGACCAGCACCCCCATCTGCACGAAGAGCAGGGTCATCGTCGACAGCCCCCGTCCGTCGGGGCGCGTCTCGTGCGTCACTAGGGCTGCGAAGCAGATTGCTGCCTGTACAGTGATTACCGGTGCTGCTGTTGACCATAGCCTGTGTTGGCGACTGTCAGCATATCTCTCTCTGTCTTCCTTTCTCCCGGAGCGTGATGATTGGACTAAATACACGACGAGCAGAAGGGAGACGAGGGAAGGAAGGAGGGAGACAAGAGGATAGAATAGGAGAGGAGAGGAGAGGAGAAAACGCACCATCCCCAAAACCCATCACTGCTATCCCTCCTCTGCCAAACCGTCACCCAGACAAAGACGCTCAGCGTGACGATGTTGGCGACGCATTCCGTCAGAAGCGTCACCCCGTCGAGAACCCTAGACAGCCTGTCATCCCTCACGACCAAGGTCGCCACAGGCCGTCGTGCCTTGCCGTCGTCACCATCCCAGCTTGCCACCGTCGCCCCCCGCACCGTCCCTCCGTACGAGTAGTCGCTGCTCATGCTCACGCTCGCCCCGTCGCCAAAGCCGTAGTACCTCCCCTTCAGAAGAGAGGTGGTCTCCTCCCCGTTGAGTGGCTTGACGGTCTCGGATGAATACGAGTTCATTCGCCGCCCGTGGGATCCGTGGGATCCGTGGGAGACGCGTGCCGCCTGCTGGGGAGGTCCAGAGTAGATATCACCATCGTCGCCTAGCAGCTGTCCTGCCGTTAGGGGAGCAGGTGAGTACTGCGACGAGGAAGACAGGGACTTGGAGTTTCGTGCGTGATGCCCGACTCCGCTGTCGGATCGCCGAGGGTGGAGTGTTAGGTGTCGTGGGCCGTGGGGGGGCCATCGTAGTGTGTTTTGCGTCGAGTGAGGTCGTTGTTGAGGTTCCATGATTCTGATGTGCGACACAAGAGTTGTTCCCTCAAAATTCTGTAGCAAGATGAAATGTACGACGAGAAAGAGAAAGAATGGATGAAGTGTAACAGAAGAGAAGAGGCCTTCTTCCTCTTTCTTCCTCTTTCTTCCTCGGCTATCTGCTTTTGAGTTTTGACGACGTGACGACCTGAGACAAGAGACTCCACTGTCAAGTCAGGAGAAGCTATCGATATTACTACTACTAGTATGAATGAGGTATCCTTTCTCAAGGGAGAATCAACCCCTCGTGACCTCTTATCCGGAAGAAAGGGGAATGAGGTGTGTGTGTATGTGTGTGTGTGCGTGTGTGTGTGAACTGCAGTCTTCCATTGATCATCTCCATACCAGTCGTCGAAACACCAGAATCGTCACAGAATGGTCAACAATGATCTCATGCTCCTATGTAACACCACTCGGATAAAATACACGGGATATCCCATAGACAAAAAAAAACAGAAAACAAAAAAAAAAAAAAAGGCAGGGGAAGGGAAAAAAAACAGGAACCATGCATCACTCAAGATTCATCCTCGCCTCATCACCAATCCCCCAGTCCCCCTCCTTCCCCCTCTTCTGCAACTCCATCTCCACCTCTATCCCGAGCCCACTCAGATGATCATCATCTTCCTCGCTAAGGACATCGCTTTTTCTCCTGGCATGCTGGCTCTGGTTCTGATTGGCATTCGCGCGACTGCTGGTACTACCGGCACCATCGGCCGACGGCCTGTCACCCGCTACTTTCCTCCTCAAGGCAGAGCTAGATGACCGGAATACATTCCATGATCGTCGTGACGATGTCGAGTGGATCGATGCAGTGTCGTCGGCACCGCCACCGGCACTAGCACTGGGAGCTACGGAGGGAGCCCTGGAGGTGGCAGAGTCTGAACTCGTTGGCCTGCTGTCGCTTTTTGCCGTCCTCTCATCGACGGGTGGGAGGGCCGGTTCTGGGCAGGTAGGGGATATCGGGGCGGACTCCTCCGCCGTGCCGTTGCCGAGAGCAGTCGTGGATACGGACGAGGTCTTGGGTGTGCTGCTGTGGTCGTCGTCATCTTCCTCTTCAACCTCGACCAGTTCCGCGTCGCGGTACCACTTGCGGCGACGTGTCCATCGGTTCCAGCCATCTACTCCCCTGCGACCATTTTGCCACTGCATGTGTGTTAGTGAGATCCGTCGCGCGTCATATTAGGGGAGAAGGTGAGCTACCTGATTATCATAGTAAATCCATCCATTCCTGGCATCCTGGCTGTCGTAGTCGATGGGGACGTGGTCATCGGACACACCATCCACCCTCCACCGGCTCCCGTCAGCCCACCTCCAGCGCATCTTGCTCCCATCCTCGACCTCTGGCAGCTCAAACTCGTCCTTGGGGGGCATCTCATTGTTGTGCTCGTCGGACCAGGCCGGGCGCTCGTAGGTAAACAGGCTCATGGTCCAGCCCAGCCCGACCCACCGGCGCTGGTTTTCGTAGATGATGAAGGTGAACTTGACGCCTGCACTGCGCGACTTGTCGTAGGTTCTCCGTCCGTGGCCGGCGGCGGCCAATTCGGGCAGGCCGGTCTTGCCGGTGCCGATTCCCTTTCCGGCGATGGACGCAGTCGGCGTCTCAAAGTGGAGTCCCGTAATGGCAGAGGATAGACGTCGCACTGTGGCACTTCGCCAGAGTATAGCCCTCGTGACACGCATTGCGCGAGCATGCCACGTGAGGATAAGGGTGCCCGCGATGAGGACGATGCGGCGGGTGGTGACGATGCGCCACGGAGGGGCGGCAAGGGCGACCCAGAAGGGTGTAACGATGAGTAGACGGACAAACATGGCCGTCAGTGCGGGTTTGGTGGTGGCGCTCGTGGCGGTGCGCTGGGTGCTCAGGAAGTCGGTCATCTCCAGAAGGGGATCCATGAGCACGTTGCACCGGCCCGTCAACTCCTTGAGCGTCTCGACAATCTCGTCGAGCGTCTTTTGGTGCCTCGTGGCCGTGGCCTCAGAGTTGTTCCGTGCATGTTTCGATTCGTTGGCTGAGGTGCTGTTTTGAGATGAAGTATTCGAAGGAGCCCCCGCCGTGTTTGCTGGAGTCGCAGGTGTCGCCGCTGAGCCGTCCGCTGTCGGTGACGAAGACAGCGACGGCGAAGTCCGTGTGGGGGGTGCTCCTCCCACGACTCTGGAGACGGCACTGCCCAGTTCGCGGACGGGTTGCTCGCTCCACGGACTGCTGCTCAAGGGACTATATCTCCGGCCGTACATGCCGGCCATCAGACCCAGGGCAACAACGACGGGCCCCGCCCAGCGGACGAGGACATCGCCGTAGAGGACGACGACCCAGAAGGCGCAGAGGAGAAGGAAGCTCTTCCACGGGTCACCAGAGCTCCAGGTGAGGAGGCCGGCAAATGTGTTTAGAGGTAGGATGAAGGGGTGGCTGTAGGCAAGAGCGCGGGTGATTTGTGGCGGCGTGGCCAGCAGCAGCGGGCTCTTTTGATGGACGAGTATTGTGGATCGTCGGGCGGATCGTGAGGGGGTGTTGGCCGAGAGAGTCACTGGGGAGAAGGCGGCGTAGGTTGGGGGAGGGGCGGCGCCGGCGCCATAGTACGACGTGGACGAGGGGTCGTCGTTGTTGTGACTGTCGTCGTCGTCGCGTGAAGACATGGGCGAGCCTAGATTGAAAAGGAGAGGCGTATCCTGGACGGCGAGAACAGGGAAGACGGGGAGTCAGCTCGATGGATGTCGTGATGGAGCAGCCGTGCAGTAAGCAGAGGGGTGCCGATGATTATGGAGTAGGGGAGAGAAATGACATCAGTGCAGGGGGGAGAGGGAGAAGGAGAGGTGTGGCGTGTGCGTTTAGGGGACCATGGCGTTGGGCAGCAGAATTGTGATGAATGTTTTTTTCTGATTCGGTGTGGGGGAGGGGCGCATAATGTGGAGTTTTGTAAACGGAACAGCATGGGTGGAAAAGAGATGGGGGAACAAGGATGACGATTGTGTGTGTGTGTATGAGAGAGGGGGAGAGAAGAGAGAGAGACTCACCAAGGCAGCCATCAAGATGGAAAGAAACAGATGAGAACGGGAAGTAAATCGAGAGCTGATCAAGGACCAGTATCGAAAGAAGCTTTGCGCTTTGGTCCGATGGCGGCGGACTCGGGGCGGGGAGCTACTACCGACGAAGCAAGGGCACGCAAACGGTGGTCAATTCATGACCTCATCTAGGGTATACTGGCGTTTGTAAGAATGTATTGTAGGAAGGGGAGGAAGGGATCCTAACGATGAAGGAAATAGGTGAGGGTTATTGGTAAGCTGGCCAGACGGCTGGCAATTGAATGCTAGAACTCTGGCAGAGTCGGAGAACGTACCGAATACTGAACAAGGCCAGAGGCTGATGACGGCATCCTGGGGAAAGAGGAGAGGATGCCCACCCACCCACCACGCTCTTTCCTTTTCGGTCGTCACATGCCACGGTAAGTGCGACCGATGCGCGATGCACCTTCCACCTTTGACTTGCAATCATTCGCTGCGTTGCCAATATATTCCTCATTACCTACGAAGTCTAATTTATGACGCAGATTATAATAAATACGTTGGTTGTACTTGATATAGGCAATTCTCCTGCGATGCACATGAACACTGTCGGTCAATCACCCAGTACAGGTTACTGCTATTGCTATGAGTATTGATACTATCACTATTACTTTCCATCACTAGTAATCTGTACAGAGTACCAGTACTAAGAAGCCACTGCTCAACTCTTCCTCGGCTCTGCTGCGCATCTCACAAGCTCCGAGGCCCAGTCCCACTTTCACTTCCAAGTCCTTGACTCCTCATACAAGGCACACGGATACCCAACATCAGGACGCTCCGTACCGTGCATTACCATTCCCGCCTTGGGCGTCTGTGTTATCGTGGCTCGCTAATTAGTTAGTTGCACGCAACACTGTACTACACGAGCAACGGCAACAAGAGGAAGAGGCTCATGAGAAGAGAAGCAGATTACGACAAAAGGAAATTGAGTGATTTGGCTATTCAGCCGATGAAACTTGGTCATGTATCCGTATCCCTCCTTCATTTTCCCTCCTTCTCTCCCCTTCCTCCCATCTTCCCAAAGAGGGGAAGAACATTGAAGTCCCAAGAAGACATTTCCCCAGCATCCCTCGTTGCGTCCATCCAGAAGCCGCGAGAATCGAGTGTATCCTGCAAATCCTTTCCTCCTCTCCATCGAGAAAACATAAGAAGAAAGAGAAGATAAGAAGAGATGGTGCGTGTTCATCGTGAAGATCATGACCACTCTCGAAGTCGTGGTGGCTGATGTCGATGTCGTTGATGGTGTCGAATTTTTTTGGACGTTTTTCTCATAATCGTAGTATATAATACAGATTATCGTCTCTCCCACTCATGGGGGAAAGACGACACGATGCTCATGGCGCATCGTATTGTGCGTTTTGGGTACAAATGAAAGGGGCGCACTGCTATGAATGCGTGGATGAGCAAGAGCCTATGTATTGTCAGTGCTTGACCTCTTTTGATGTCTCGTGATAAGACGCAATAGTAAAGTCCCAGGACACAGCAAGTCTCTCAAGACACAACAGGTCCGGGAGAAGAGCATATTGTATCCGAGAAAGGTAAAAGAAACTCACAACTGGCGCCGCAGTTGCAGCTAGAGGAAGCAGAGCATCCACAGTTGCCGGCCATCTTGATGGAGATAAGAGGGATATAGGTATAAAAACCTAGAAAAAAATGATTGTTTGAAAAGTGGTTGGAACGAGAGTTTTTTTCGACTATAAAAGTCTACTTGTAGAGAGAAAGAAGAAGAAAAGGGACCAAAGATGAGAGGGAGGGACACGGTCCTCTTTATAGATGAGAGGGTCTCGGAAGAGGAGGGGGGGAGGGGAGGAAGCCTTGCGATCTGCTGACGATCCTAGACAACTATGGCTATCTGCCATTCGATCTCGCAGGATATCGAAGAAGAAACTGTCGGTCTGACCCTCAAACTCGGGATAGTCTTCCTCTTGGGCACCCATGAAACCAAAACAAGTTGGTCCCCACCCTTTGCGTGGCCTATTACACAATTTACCAGGCAGGAGGGGGGGGGGAGGGCGGTCCGAGGATAGAGGTAGAGGTCATTGGTCGTCGACGGTTTGGCGATGCGGTCAAGCCGTCGTGCAAGGTAATATATCTGCACTTATTTAGTCTATATGCACATTCAGGGTAGCATCGGTGGTCTATTCACTCCCTCTGTTTCGCCGTCTCTATCACCCCGTACTACCTACTGAGTGAGGTTGGATCCCTACAGCTGACTAGCTTGTTGCTCATCCTGATGGCTAGGGTTTCGCTTCGTCCTCGTCCCTTGAACTTTGGCTGTACTCACGAAACAACTACACTGCCTACCTGTACAGGTATGTATGCACTCTGCTCGCCCAATCGTCAAAATCATGTGGCCACCTCCGAAACCAGAAAGCCACTGAGCTGGCAAATCTGCAAGATAGACCCGCTCCATCCAACTGGCTTGCTGGCAAAACAAAGACGATATCCACCTTCTCCTGCATGCTCACGCTCGCACCTGTAGGTTGTATTATCACATGTAGGCAGGTTGTCAAGTCTAATCCGCGTTTCACTGTCCCTGAGACCCTCTTTTTTCCGACCCCATCTACGAATATCAGTCGTCTGCATCGAGTAACAGCCATGATCATTCACATCCTCCATCTGCCTTTCTTTTTTCGGCCAGTGGACCCGGGGGAGCCTAGGTCCCTTTGATTTCCACTTTCACTCATCAGTACTGAAATAGAGTGGTGATGTGTGTCACGTCATGGTGGGATTAAGATGATGTGTTGAAGGTGTTATTAACGGGTCTGTGTATATTAATAAGCGTACGTAGATGGCTGCCTGGGGCAACCATTCCCAGCCCCCCTCCCAACCACCTCCATGTACGAGTAATACTGGTCAGGGTCATGGACACTGTAATGGACGAGTCATATCGCTCTATAATCCATAATAAACATTCCAAAGTCCACTGCACCAGCGGCCCCTCGGCAACTACATTCAACCAACGTATCAAGGGTAACAAGACATAACATACACAACACAATCTCCTTCACCGCAATCCGACGCTTTTCACCATCGACTCTATGGTCACTGTCTTGGATGGGCCGGTACCACCAAGTGTAGACCCAGTGATGCTGTCATACTTTTTCCAGTGTTGTCGGTCAAAAGCAGAAATGTTCCTGTCGATCCTGACAAGAACGTTGTCAAAGTCGACACAAGCGGAACCACACGAGGACAGATCAAGACGGGTAATCAACAAAGGCAAACAAAGCAACCATAGGGTTTAATGCTGAAACACAGTGAACTTACTTGAAGGTAGGCTATGTGCTATCAGGCGTCAAATTCTCAATGTTTATTATTCATGCCGAAAACTTCGACTATAAAAAGTTTCGTGTCCGGCTTACCTAAGCTACGCACGATGAGGAAGGTGATGCAGTTTTATAACGAGAGAAAAACACAAGAGTGAGGGTGGTAGTGAGGAGGACATGATGAAACTCCAACCGGTAGAATGTCTACATCTATAATGGGAGGTACAAGTTCTTTTCCTTTCTTTTTTAGACGCTGGAGCCTAGCTCTTGACCGCTCTCGTGATGCCATCGACTCCGTTGACACATACCAAGATACGTCACGATATATTGATCGCGTCGCGACACGCGCGGTTGTTACCGTAGCTTTGGGGGTGGCCGGGGGGGCGCGCACGGCGGGGGGGGGAAGGGGGGTTGCTTTTCCCGCCTCGGGCCTTGACTGTCTTTTTTATCTCCTCTCGAATTTTACAGAGGGGCGCAACGGACTTGTCCACGTCAGCTTCATGTGTCCATGTCTGCCGTCCATGTCTCGGCACTGGGCACTTCCTTGTTCAGCTGTCAGGAGCTTTCCCGGGATATTCTTAGATTTCGATGTTCAAGATACTAACAGTCTCGTGACGATTCAAGTATGATATCGATAGTGTTATGACCTTGATTGGTCATACTATTCCATGCATGTTGTCGTGTTCAGAACGTGTACGGGTACGATACGCCATTCCTCTCAGCCTCCTCTCAGCCTCAGGAAGTGTCCACCTCATCCATTCCGATCTAAACACCGACATACCCTTCACGGGCATTCCATCTCATCCCAAAGCCTTCATCAGTCTTCGCGGTCACTGCGTCCGATCTTCAGATCGCCGCTTGGCGGGAAGAGGACGACGACACAGAATTGTCAATCTGGAAACTAGCCTGCCTCCTCTGGGCAGGAATCCCTTCTGAAATCGACGAGGTCTCGGGCATGGAGGAGTCATGTTGGGTTCAATGTGAACTTTGAATGAGAGTCGCAGACATAGTTAAGAAATGTGTATTATACATAACGCTGAAAGATGTACAATTGATGCTGATAAGTTTCGTCCACCATGATGTGAAAGAATACAGAGTACGATGATCTAACCACCCCAAAGATGCGCCTTCAATTCTGGAACATGTTTTTTGTATTTCGTCATCTGGTGGGGAATTGATTACCCCTCTGACCACCAGGTACGAAATAATAGATATAAAGAAGAAAAGTAGTTCCACTGGACCATGGAAGCATGTATACAGAAAACCACAAGACAACACCAAAAACTCCTTGTATGGAAAAATGATTTGTCCAGTCGACCATTTCGTCGTAGGTATTCCGGAAAAGGTTGAAAAGGATGCAAAAGAGGGAGAGGGGGTGGGGAGAGGGGAAGAGGGGGAGGGAGAGGGAGAGGGAGAGGGAGAGAATCACTGCAAAGGTATAGGCTCGTAGTTGTGTTGCGACGACGACGACTTGCCGACGCGCTTGGTGACGGTGCGCACGACGCGCCTGAGCGGAGCGCGGTAATGGTACAGGGCAAAGATGGTGATGAGGAAGGCCATGAGCGACCAGGAGAAGATGGTGACGGGCTCGGGCATCCATCCGCGCGAGGGCGCCTCGAGAAGCGTCTTGGTCGTCTTCTCGTGGCGGGGAACGGTGCGCGTGCGGCCGAGGACGTTGCCGGCGGCGTCGAGGGCGACGACGGTGATGAAGGCGCCAGCGTCGTCGGGCACGGAGATGCGAGTCTCGAAGGTGGTCTTGACGACGCGCTCGTGGTCGGTGGTGGCAGCGCTGCCGTCCTCGCTGTCGCTGCTCTGCATGTGCCACTCGCGCACCTCGGTAGCCCCGTTCCAGCTCACGTACACGGCCTGCTGGTCCGGGCGGACGGCAATGTCCGGGTTCGTATCCGGGCGGCCGACCCAGGGGAACTTGAAGTCGCGGTAGCTCTTGACCCAGCCAAAGTTGGCGAACCAGATGGGACCGAAGTGGACGTCGCACAGCACCTCGCCCTCGGCCGTGTACTCTGTGTAGGCCGGGGTGTGGCCCCATCCGACGAGCACGTTGCCGTTGGGCAGCACCTGGACTGACCCCTGCGACGGGGCCAGGTAGCCCAGCGGGGCGACGTACTCGCGCGTCAGGGTGGCCGTCATGGCGTCGAGGTTGAGCGAGACCTTGACGCCGCGCGACCGCGAGGCCGAGTTGAACTGGCCGTTGGACTGGTTGTCGAAGAGGGTGACGGTCGTGCCGTTGTCGTGCCAGCTGGCGTGGTGGTTCCAGGCAATGTTGGTGGCCTGGCCATCCGACAGGTCGGCGAACGAGTTGCCCTTGCCGCCCAGCTGCCAGAGGATGCTACCGTCGACGTGGCTGATGCAGGCCACGGCGCACATGTGCCGCGCCGAGATCAGGTAGTCGCCCTCGCTGTTCTTGTCGATGCTGTTGATGTGGAAGAAGTCGAAGCCCGAGTTCGCGTTCCTGCCAGTCCAACCGGGCGGCTGCAGACTGTCCAGGACGTGGTAGTGGTCTGTCGCGCGCCACTCGAAGATGAGCTCGCCCGTCTCAATGTCCATCTCCTGAAACAGGCAGTCGTATAGCCAGCCGGTCCAGGACTCGGAATCGGGGTCAGACCCGGGAAAAGTGCCCTCGATCGACTCGTAGATTGTCATGAGGGCTGTTCCATCTTCTGTGATGGAGAACTCGTGCAGGTCACCTAGAAGATCACCCGCGGGGATGACTTCCTTGAAGAGGTTGTACTTGTCATCGAGCTGGAGGTGGGGCTTGTTAGTACTAGTAACGACTCGATCTAACCCTCCTTTTTCTGTCTTGAAGTTTTTTTTTCTTCTTCTTCTTTTGCGACAGCGCAAGGGGGGGGAGGGGGAGAACACGAACCATGAGATACGACCCCGTCCCACCAGCAAAAGAACCTGTGTCCTCGCCAATCCAAAACGTGATGTAGTCCTTTCCCTTATAAGACTGGACTTTGACGTCCATGGCTTGACCCCATTTCGTGTCTGTCCAGACAAGATTGCCCTGACCATCAACAATGACCGGCCCAGGAGTCTCGACATAGAGTCCGCGGGGCTCTATGAACAATAGACCATCCTCACACCGGTCGTCGGCCTTGACAATGTTGAAAAGGGGAGAATCCGCACCAAACGACTCGTAGGACTTGCGCGGGTAACTGCCGTACCAACCCCAGTCATACCAGTAAGAAGCCTGTACGTGGGAGTCGGCCGAGGCCTTTGACTGGTCCCTGGGGGCCCGTGGTCTGTTGCCGGCAGTATCAACAGCGTCGGTGGCAACGGAAGGCTCAGAATCGAGGGGCACAGCGGCAGCGAAGAGATCATAGGGCGCTGCCGCCGCCGCTATTAATAGCGAACGGATGAGGGTATCCATGGCGAGTATGGGCAGGTGGGCGGACACACACAGACACACAGACACACAGACACGTGTGCGCGCGACGGTCTGTCGGTCGAGTGGTGAGGACAGCGTTGGCGATGAGAGAGAGTGTGTGCTTTTGGTGGAGGAGAGGGGGGAAGGAATCGAGCAAGGAATCGACCAGGAACAAAAGAGGTAAACTCTCTCTCCTTTTTTTTTTCCCACGAGACGATCAGCAACTTTTCTCCATCGTCTGTCTGCATGTGTACGAGTACTATTAACACAATTATACGGCAGTCTACGAGTAATAATATTCGATAAGATGGATACCTTGTACCCAGTTTTATTTCCCTTCTTCTTTTCATTGCCTGGCACGAGTACTCATAGTAATACGGAGTACTTACCTATTTATTCTAGTTATTAACTTATCGCAGCCAAGAGTGCGGTACGGAGTATACTCCATATGCATACAGACGGAGTACAGGTACGGAAACTCTGTTCAATAAAGTATCCATAGCCGTACTCATACTCGTCAGTGCTTCACAATCGACGTTATCATTGCCCATATGAGTGCTCCGTACAGGCAATAGATCCAACTGGTCAACGGACCAACGGTTGCCCGGCCCCTTGCTACAATGGGTTCCATGCGGCGCTCCGTCACGGAAACCACTTGCCGTACGGCCAAGTGCGCGGAGGATTTGCAGTATTATGTTACACCCAATGTAGGCACGAGGGAAGATGTAACACGTTCCTGTACGGGATCCATGGTATCCCTGTCTGCATCTGCCGCGCCTCCAACTACGTAATTAGGTGCCCCCCCCCCCCCCTCCCTTACCCTCCACTCTTGTGTGAGTACACACTGATGTACAGCTAGGATGGACTGTAGGCTGTAGGCTGTAGGTACATGGCATATGGGCGTGCTCAGTACTCCATGCTCGTACCCGCACACTAAGATTTCTCGCACAAGCTAATATTCCCCCTCTCTTTAGGACTGAGGGGAAGGGGGTCGATAGGTTGTTGTTATTAGTATCATCACTTGTGCTCGGTAGAGAGGAGCGAGTATGCATGCAATGAGTGCTTGTCCTCATGCAGCTCCATGCAGATACTACATATACTACAAGTATGAATGCTAGTAAGTCATATGTGCGAACTCACAATGTGCAGATACTCGTAGGAACATGTATATCGCGCTCTTATTATTTCTATTATACTGATGAGAATGCTAGGGCCTGCCAGTAGTAGCATCACATCTCTACACCAATATTAGAAACAGATAATCTTGGAATCAAGTTTCAAAAGTCTCAATAATAATAAAAACAAGATGCCTTGATTTCTAGTTCAATTCGAAGTAGCAAGACGCAATCCGCCCTAGTCCAAATGAAGGACGGTGCGCAGATTCATCCTGGCAGAACACATGGAGATACCGTGTGCCAAGCTTACTCGTAGGAGTCCTCGTACTCTTCTAGACGTTAGTTCTACACATTGTAGCAGTCACGAGTAGTCAGCCCCCGCGAGCATATCCGACCTATGCATCACTCGAGTCATGTATCTAGCACGGGGGGGAGGAGGGGGGGAAGAGATAGAAGAGAATGGGAGATATGCAAAACGATCAAGGTCTGGATGTCCTCCCCCCCTGGAGCCAGAGGGAATCCATTCAAATCTCAACGGGGTATTCCAGACCTTGACCTTTGTCCATTGCAATCCACAAGGTACATAATACCTCGATGTAATCTGTGCTCCGTACCAAACTAAGTCACGATTAGGATTCGCACGAAGAAATCATCCAGATACTACTGAGCCGTGCTATGCGGAACTCCCTCTTTGCTTCTCTCTCTCTCTCTCTCTCTCTCGTTCGCGGAGTCTCTCCCAGCAACGACACGTCATCCAAGATCCTTAGCGCCACCACCAGCGACTCATGTGGCTTGCATCGACAAAAGAAGGAGATGCGAGTAGTTACACGGCATTGGCAGTTCAGTTGTACCATCATTACAATTACCTACGGCTCAGTAGTGCTAGTAGTACCAGTACTGTACTCCTCACCATCTCGCACACGCACTCGTACAGTACAGATGATAATATGATTACGAGTGCTGAGTACTCGTACTGCTGATTCGTCACCACATTACGAGCCCCAAAAGGGTACCCTGCCGTCCTAGCCATATACTCGTACGTGAGAGGTGAGGTTGGCGGCCTCACGACCTACTTCGTAGTCTTTTGCCGTTAGTGCAGCGGTGAGCCCTATGAATGCTCCTATAGGTCCCTGCCGTCGCGACTATTATTATTAGCCTAAGAGGAGTCGGAGCTCGAGAGTATTTTTAAGTACTGATTATGCCGATATTTTACCGTAACCGGCTAGGGTGGTGCCACCTTCCAGGGGTTGCCACCTTCCAAGGGGTGCCACCTTCCAGGGGTGTGCCGGTTTGCCACCTTCCAGATGCTTTGACTTCGAAAGCTTCCACCTTCTCCCACTTTACGAAATCCTGAAATCCTAGTTTCCCCCCCGGGGCCCCCCCCTCCCATACCCCTTATCGCACTATAAAGGCCATAGTCGCTGTCTAACACTGGGTCTGGTGCATGCCCGTGGCAAATCCGAGGGTGAATGTGAGCTAGATCAAGACCTTGTGCTTTGTCGCACTTTTTCTTCGCACTTCCCGTGCTTTGGACATTATCCGTCGATATGATGGAATCCGAAGCGATTCCCGTTATAGTCTCTAGTAGTACGTACAGAGTACGGAGTCATCTTGGCCCGTATTTCCATCCGCACGGGATTTAGCCACAGATACACCTACCCTGTATTACATGACATTTGACAAATATAACGACATGTTAAAACATTACTGACGAGTATAACCTTTCCTTGAGCACGGCTAAAAATGTATTATATCATTCGTTTCATTTCGTTCTTCCTTGATTACAGCAACTTCCCACCAGCAAAACAAGTCATACAAACACCCCACACGCCATATACAGACTGACATTAAATTCCCAGCTGTTGTACAAGACTTTTCCATCCTTCATCCAAATCGACAAACATATACAGTGGCGATGACGATATAGTAGTGGTAGTGGCGGTGATAATAGTAGCAGTAATAGTACAATTGATGGCGGTGATGGTCACGTCCATCAGAGAGGATAAATCATCAGAATCACTCCTCACCACGAACCCACTTCTTTTCCTTATGCCCGGCCAGGCCATCGATACCCGTGACAGGCAGGCCACGTTTCTTGAGCTCCTCCTCAATCACCTTCCACCTACCCACCTCGACCTCGCGGTCGATGGGGCCAATCTTGGATTCATGCACTCTGACATTGGGCAGGCTGACGAAATCGGGGCGCTGCACCTCCAGGAGCTCGGCCAGCTTGGGTTGCCTGGGCTGCTTGGACGCGACCGTCACCAGGTGGCGAGCTGTGCGGGCAGCACCGAGCCTGGCGTCTGGGATGAGGGTGCCTGTGAGCTGGTAAAGACGTTTACGGATCTGTTTGTGATGTCAGTACGCGTATTCTTCTGTTATGACATATATATGTATGTCCTTTTTTTTTGGGGGGGTTGGTCTCGTAGAGTCCTCGACTCCGCATGTCATGACGAGGGAGGAAGAACGAGAAGAAAGAAATAGGAGATGACACATACCGCAAACTTGGCCTCAGTATCCAACATGACATCCTTCCACGACGAATCCCAAGACTTGACCATCTCGCGCGCCTCATCCAGGGAGATGATCTCGTCGACTACCTCGGACGCAGCAGGAGAAGCACCCTCAGCATCAGCCGTGAGCCCGTCCGCAATAGCAGAGGCCTGACCACTGGACAGGCTGGCGGTGCCGTCCGCTGCGACGGAGATGTCTGCCCGCAAAGCGGCATCCAGCGCGGCCCTGGACCCGTCGTCGGCCCACCGGCGGGTGGCCCACTCGGCCAAGCGGCCCGTCTCCCTGAGGGCGAGAACCTCGACCACGGCCCTGCGGAGGTGGACCTCCACGAGGTTGCGGTCGACGACCCTGGCGGCGGCTGCGCGCCCGAAGCCGCGGAAAATGCTCTCGGGCCCCCAGTGGCCGGGCTGGTCCCACCAGGTGCGCAGGGGCCCGACCTCGGCCAGATCCTCCAGGCTGGTGGCGGGCGTGTAGCTGGGGTCGCTGCTCTCGACCTCGCTCTCCGTGGCGGCTTCGGTGCGCCGGGCCGGCATGGCCAGGCGCGTCTCCCGGACGGCACGGGGGGTGCGGTCGCGGCCCGACAACGTCCGGGACGACGGGGTGTATCCTTCCTCCCCATACCCCTGCTCCTCCTCTGCGGGCTCCATGCGCTGCGTGTACGGGTCTTCGGGACCGGGAGCCTCACCGTCCTTCCATAGCTTGCGGCGGAGTATCTGCGTGCGTGATGTGCTGCTGCTGCTGCTGCTGCTGCTGCTGCTGCTGCTGGCTCGAATGGCCAAGGGGGTCGTGTGCTTGGGGACTGAGGCCCGTCTCCCCAGAACGGGGAGACCCCATGTACGCGGTACTCGGGGCATTGCTTGTATTGCGAGGAGGTTTTTTATCTCTCTCGGGGATTGAGGAGGATGATGGGATGTGTGCGAGTGTGTGATATATCCGACGTCCAGCCTCCGTTGTGTGATGGACTGTTAACTTTTCTTGTTCTAACCCGTGGTAAATTATTTGGGATGTGGAAGACCAATCATGCCCAAGCACTAGCAAGCAGAGCTCACCTTGTGGCTCATGCCAGGGCACCAGCCACAATCCCATGATTGTACGTATCTATTATCTATATTACTATGGCCTACGACCGCAGAATCTACTTCCATGAGTATGTAGTGCGTCGCGTTCTTCGATTTCGATTTCGCAATCGCTTTCGGGCTGTCAGCAGTGGTCCCCCCTCCCATCTTCAGGGTAACGTGTGAGATCATCACCGAAGAAACAATCGTCACCAGAAGCAAGAGTTGGCGGCCTCTCCTCTAACCACCCGCAACAGAGGCCATCTCCCGCCGCCCCAGAACCACCATCATGGCGCCAGCACCGCAACGCCTACTCTGGCTCACCATAGCTCTCTTGGTGTCTCTGGTATCAGCAGGTAAAACCAAAGACGCATTTCTGTTTTCTGATCTATTCCCTCCTTGTGTGACCATGTTGATCATCTTGCACTAACCCACATCCTGATTCTCTCTCTCCCTCTCTTACAGCTTCACCACCAACATTTTGCAAATGCACTTGCTTCAAGAACAGCACAATTATACCGCTCGGCCCCGAGACATTCACAAATGGCGACCAGACCGAAGACCCGTCATCGTCGGCAAACAACCCCGTAGCTGCTGCTGAGCGCCGGTCGTCATCGTCTCTCCTCCTAGACGGTGGTGACGAGGTCCCCGACGACTACCATACCCCCCCTGCTGCTGCCGCTGCCGCTGACGACGCCGACGTTCTGCAACAACGACAACGAAGACTGCAATCACTCCAACCCCGAACCGCTTCCACCTCCTGCTCAGAGTGCACTCGAGCCTTCTGCCTTAATCAGGGTATCGACATTTGCCGGGGCGCCGAGGAGGATGATGTCATTACACTCTGCTTCAAGCGCGACAGTAACAAGGACAAGCTCATTGTTTGGGGGTTCGTCATCGGCATCGTCGGACTTCTCGGCTGGGCTGCTGCCAGGAGATTCTTTGCATGGAGGGCCACGCAGCGCGTTCCATCTCCTTCTCAGAGTAATCCGAGGTATGCGCCCGTCTCTACTGACGGAGCGTGATGGCAAGGCAGGACGAGGGGGGCCTCTCCCTTTCCCCTTCCTCTTCCTCTTCCCACCTGAGGGAGTTTGGTTGGTTTGCGGCATATGAATAGAACAGGTACGCAGGAGTTATGGGCGCTGTATTTATGACATATTACATTTTAGTTTTTTTTTTGTTTGGGACCTCATTTGTTTTCTGTCTCTGCCTTGATCACGATTTTTTTTTAAAAAAAAGACAGCGTTAAGCACGCAGTAGAAATTGTTATTTGTTCCAACTCGTTACTTATTTGATCGTATTAAAAAGCACACAAGCAACACGAAATACCAAAGTATCATCACTGATGTTTCCTCTTTCCCCTTCGTCCTTTGTTTGGTGGTATGAGCCGTATGTCTGACCATGGTGCCTATTTCTGTTTTTTTTTTTTTCAAACGCCGCAATATCAAACATATGATGCAAAATGTTCCCTACAGCCACGTGCTCTCTCTTAATAACAGTATCACCCAATTTTTGTTCCTCTTGATATTAATTTTTCAATTCCTGATATTAAAAAAAAAACACATCGCTCCTCTTCTTTTTTCTTCTTGTTTGTTTATTTAGTCTTCCTCCAGGGGTGTAACTTTGGTCTCACCAGCGATGCCCGTCGTACCCCTCACCTCGCGACGAGTGCGGATAGCAGAGGCGAGATCCTCGAGAACGGTGACGGTGGTGTCCCAGTCGATGCAGGCGTCGGTGATGCTGATGCCGTGCTTGAGGCCCTTGGGACCCTCGGGGGGGACCTTCTGCGCACCCTCGTTGATGTTGGACTCGATCATGACGCCGATGATGGAGCTCTCACCCTCGCGGAGCTGGTCAGCAACAGCCTTGGCCACGATGGGCTGGTTCCTGTGGTTCTTTTGCGAGTTGCCTTGATTTGAGTGTTAGCATATTGTTCTTTCCTTCTTCCTTCCTTTCTCCTCGTCTCTCCCCCTTTCTTTCTCCCTTCTTTCTTCTCTTTCTCTCTTCCCTTGCTCTTTGAAAAGAGAGAAAAGGGTGAAGAGTGACATACCGTGAGAACAGTCAATCATGATGGCCTGCTTCTGACCCTTGGCAATAAGAGTCTTCTTAGCAGCCTGGACGCTCTCCTTGTCAAAGTTGGTACCCTTTGTTCCGCCACGGAGGATGACGAAGCCGTGCTCGTTGCCGCTGGTGCGGGTGATGGCGGCGAGGCCCTGCTTGGTGACGCCCATGAAGTGGTGCTTTGAGGCGGCGGCCCCGATGGCATCGATGGCGACGCTCAAGCTGCCGTCGGTGCCGTTTTTGAAACCGACGGGGAAGGACAGGCCCGAGGCCAGCTCGCGGTGAAGCTGGGACTCGGTGGTGCGGGCGCCGATGGCGCCGACGGAGATGCAGTCGGCCAGGAACTGAGGGGAGATGGTGTCGAGCATCTCGCTGGCGATGGGCATGCCGGCCGAGGTGAGGTCGACGAACATCTTGCGCGAGACGCGGAGGCCCTTGTTGATCTTGAAGGACTCGTCAATGTCCGGATCGTTGATCAGGCCCTTCCAGCCGACCGTGGTGCGCGGCTTCTCCAAGTACGCTCTCATGATGATGCACAGGTCGTCTGATAGGCGGGCTGACAGCTCGCCCAGCCTCTCGGCGTATTCGATGGCCGCACTCGGGTCGTGGATCGAGCAAGGCCCCACCACCACCAGGAGCCGGTCGTTGTGGCCCATTACGATCTCGGCCGCGTCCACGCGGCCCTTGACCACCGTCTGCAGAGCATCGTCGGGGAGGGGCACCTCGGACGTCAGGAGCTGAGGAGGGATGAGGGGATCCTGACCGAGGACTGTGATATTGGGTGTCGTGTCGTCAGCGAAAGGGAGGGGTCATCTTGGAGTTGGAGGGGTAGAAACTCACTTCGAGTGTCGTCGGCGACGAGGGGTTTCAAGTCGACTCCAGGCATCTCGGGCGGGATTGTGCTTCTTCTCGTCTTCTTGAAAGAGATTGTGATAGAGCGATTGTTTTTGTTTTCTTTTTTTTGGGGTTTCTGCTTCTTGTACGAGGTCCGACGTCGCTTTGGGCCAGTGGGAGGCTTGATATTCGGGCTTAGCAAAAAAAAAAAAAAGCAAAAAAAAAACCCCCAAGTTATGGTGGGACGACACGGGCTTATGAGTCAGGTTGAAGGCGGTGGGGTGGTAGTAATAAAAGACTGCGTATGTCGTATGATGGGCGTCGTTGCAGTTTTCGACCACAGCAATTGCATACCAAAGCTGTCATGGACTTTTTTCTTCTTCCTTTACTCGGAGAGATCTTTGTATTATCAGATTGTCAAGAAATATGTAAAGCTTCTCTTTTCTTCTTCTTACATTCGGTTATTACGACCATTGCCAGATTGACGTCGAAGCACGCTCTCTTTTTGAAAGTCACCTTCCAGGCAGGAAATAACCCCGCGGTTCTCGCGGTTCCCGCTGTTGGAGGGGCACCGTTGTGTCGACCCGCTTTGAAAACTCCGAGTCCGTAGCAGGCGGCGGGACAGAAATCCATGGCCTCTTATGAAAAGTCACGAGACTAAGGGCTTTCGTCGTAGGGGGGGGGGGGAATACCCTGCAGAAGACCTGGACTAGATGTACGGAGTGCTGTATTGCTACTGCATGTAAACGCAAGCACCGCTGCTAAGTAATATTAACAGCACTAGTGAATATACAGGCAAGTAGGTGGTTCTAGGTGCATGCATGTGATGTGGTTTATTATTATCAACTGATCTACTTGTATAGTGCCATGGGCCATGACCTGTGGGTAAGGAGAGCCCATCTAGAGCGGGGGTCGGTAGACGGCTAGCTACTCCGTGGCTATATGTTATGAAGCGAAGCACTCGAGGCAGACTAGTATCATCGCTCTCGCTATTATGGAATACTTGGAGATGTTCGTTCAACGGCACATGGAATGGGAATGTTATTGGCGGTACAGGTATCACTTCGTGTTACATAATATCCAGTACTCTTGTGACGCCGGGCCCGTCGACTTATATCAGCGGCCAGATGTGAAGACAGCTCGTATGACAGCCACCTTGATCAGAGTCTATAATACATATATATATTACTGCTGACAGCGAATATGATCCATAGGGGTAGCGGGACGTAGAAATCGCCGTAACAAGGGACGAGAGGCGAGGAGCGAACGGTATGGCTGCAGTTACTACCGTCTACATGTATGTTCTCAAACGTGCTTCCCCACCCCGGTTGGGGTGAAGTCCATTCATATATTACGAGTACAAGCACGTACTAGATGAGGTAATGTGTCATGATACGTCATACCTGCATCGCCTACATGTACAACTTTCAGCCTCAGCAAAAGGTATGTGTACCATCTATCCAGACGAACACGGCATAATACAAGGTATGGAGGAAGAGGACGAGGAAACCCCAAAACCACCCAAGCTCACCCATCTCGGAGCCTCGTACGACTCATAATCACAAGGTGGAAGATGCCGGTCAGTCGTGGTCGGCGGTGTAGGGTGAATGCCGATGGGTGGTTGGGTGTGCCTGTACTCGTACTGCCTCAGCTGGTTGGGGGACCGTGATGGTTCTGACGCGGTGGCGGCAATGGCGTGGGCCGCGAAATCAACAAGGCCGTTATGCCACCCGCTTACTGCTCGTACCGGCCGTGAATACAGCTGATAGCGCTCATCGGGGATGCTCAGCAGATAATCAAGCCGTGAACTTGTACGGTGCTGCATGCAGTGCAAAGGCCAGCAATTCGGAGTCGCCGGGATGATGCATAGTCGACCTTTTCCGGGCCTTTGCTCAATAGAGTAATACAGAGACTAATATCACAGGTATTGACACAGGTATTACTCTTGTCTCTTGTAGGGGACTAGGCACCCGGAAGATCTACTATTAATAATACCTCTGCTTACGACGCGGTTTCACATCTCTCTTCAGCGTCCCCCCTTTTGCGTGTCCGTCTTTCCTGTCCTCTCGATTGAGAAAGAAGGAAGGGATGAAGAAAGGAGGGAAGAAAAGAGGAAGCAGAAAATATATAAATTCATGCCAGATGTGATATTGCGCAGAATCATATGCAACATGATGCATTATGGTAATTGCCCCTCCCCGCCCCCCTACAGCCTACAGGCTATTATCATGTCCCCCCCCCCCCCCCCTAAGGGCCTAGGGTGTCGGGAGCACAGACACCACTCTCTAACGTCTTGTCAATGTGCTCGTTGGTATCCCTTTTTTTTTCACTTTTCATTCCTTTCTCCTTTCCTTCTTTTACAAAAGGACCATCAACAATTGAACACTGCTTAGTATCATGGTCACCTGTACGATCTAACGAGGGAGTAGAAAAGGTGCTGTGTTGCCCTACTGGTTACTAATAGTAACAGCAGCCGTCGTAATACGACGCTTTTACTCGTACTAAATGGAGTAGACAGTCTCACGTTACTCGTAAAGCATCCACGCTTTGCTTGCCACAGACTGGCGGCGCAGCAGTAGTAGCTGAGTAGCAGCAGTAGCGGGCAGCAGTAGCGGGCAGCAGTAGCAACATACCAACCACGCTTTATTATTTGGTACTCGGTCCTCGCACGCACGCACTGCGTAACCGACCCCTCACGGACCTCCTCCTCCTCTCTAGACTTACCCAGTCTTGATTCTTCTCTGTGTCCCTCTTTCCCTCTCCCCTTTTCTTTCTCTCCCTCACTTCTCCCACCTCATTCTTTCTTTTAACACTACTGCGACGGGCAACCGGATCTTTTGTAATAATCTCAGCACTTACCTCGCATCGCCGTCATCATCATCGTCATCATCATCGCCATCATCGCTTCCAACGCATTATTTCACAGCCACCCCATCCACCCCATCCACATCAACCACCGAGGATCGTTTCTCTTCTTCCCATTCTCCCTCCCCACACCCAAGATCCCTGCATGTTCGCGGCCCGTGACAGTACCGGCCCTCCTGACCCGACCACCTCCCACTGAGTCGCGACATACGCCTGCTGTTTTCCTCTTTCGTTCCTCCCTCAGCTCCTTCTCCCTCTTACCTTGCCACACAATAGACCGGCGGGTCCCAGACGACCACTCTCTCAATCGTCGCTGTTTGCATTCGTCGCTGTACCGCAATCACCCCTCCGCACCTCTCCTCCCATCACTCTTTCGTGAGTTCGGAAGAGGAACGAAAAACATACATACACTGTATCCCACACTGCACCCATGTTCGGATCGCAGCATTATATGGACGCCGCCGTGCCCGACCTGCCTAAGAAGCGGGGCCGAGACGACGAGCAGGTTCTGGGCAACACCACCGCCAACCAGCACTGCAGTTTTTCCGAGCATCGCAACGTGAGTCTTTCTACTCGAACACACTCTCCCCCGCAGAAGGCAAAAAGAAAAAAAAAGGACTCATTGTCCCACTGACATCGGCAATAGAAACGTCTTCACAGTCTCCCCGTCCGAACGTCGCCTCGAGCACATGCCCAAGGTCTACCCTCAGTCCACATCACCCCTCTCAACGCCTCTCCGGGCCAGTTTCGTCACTCATATCTCGAGGAACCGTCATTGCCGTCGTCGTCGTCGTCGGCGCACCAGCACCGCAATGACACTGACATGGACATGGACGGCGGCGGCGGAGGGATGCAACTCCACACCCAATACTACCCGGCACATCTAGAACCCGAGGTCGACCCCTCACGCCGCATGCCCACACCTATCCAGCCCAGCTTCGCCGCCCAGGTACGAGGCCAGCACAACGAATGGGCCGGCAACGGCCTGCAACATGACCCCTCAGCCGACCACCACTCAATCCCGCGGACGATGACCACCGGTGACGGGGATTGGCAGGCCGTGCAGAATAACCGACGCCTCCCTTCCCCCATATCGGAGTGCGATGATGCCATGTCCAGCTCCGACAGCAACAGCAACAGCAACAGCATGAACGGCATTGCCCATCACCACGCTATGGAGCACCCCAATGCCGTCATGGACATGGAAGGTCGCACGCCCTCGTACCAGCAGGACCCCGACGGCACTGGCGGCGACCCGGCTGGTCCTTCACCCGAGCGCAGAGGTCACATACGCCACAAGCACACGATCAACACCTGGACGTGGCAGCCGGGCATGAAGAAGAGTTTCAGTGTGGGGTACCGTGCAGACTGCGAGAAGTGCAGGCTCAAGGTCCCGGGACATTTCAACCACATTGTCATATCATAGAATGGGCAGTCACGGATCATCGACAGCGCCTACGATCCCCGAGCGTGGAACGATCACGTCCGCCCGCTGGATTGGGCCGAGAAACGGCGGCGCAGGTCGATCCTCGCCACCTTGCCACCACTCACTCACTCGCCATCCGCCTCTTCCGCCTCCTCCTCCTCTTCTTCCTCTGAATATCCCTCCTCGTCAACAGAACGCGATTACGCATATGCAAAAGCAGACTCCAAAGCCTTTTCAGCATACCCTCTGCATCCTCTCCTTTCAATCATGTAAACATCCCTCGTCAGCAATCATTGGGTGAGAGCTACAACCCCAATAATTCGGGCTATCCCGATCTTTTTTTCGACACACTTCACACGCCCAAGCGCATTTTTCTTTCCTTTCTTCCTCTACCTCTCTCTCAGAATACTCTGGGCTTTCTTCCTTTTTTTATTCTCATCTTTGCGCACTCTTTCCCCCCTCTTTTTTCTTTTCTCTTTTTTTTTTCTATAAGTATTTCTCTCTTTTATTATTTTCTCATGACTTGTGTGTTTGCAATCCAAGCGAAGAGAAGGATTTGCTATTGCCAATGGCATGGAGACAGTGCAGGACAAAGCGTGCCGGTACAAGTAGGATACGGCATTTGATAGATACCATAATCATAGCGTTGCTTTTCATCACCAAAAATGTTATTTGATTGCGGAAACTGGCCTCTCTACCAGACATTCCAAAAGACACGTCCCAAAGAGTAGGTCACATTCACCATGGGTCGAAACTAGAGACAGTCAAATCGCTTGACATTATAGAGGAGGGAACTACTACACCCCACAATGATACATGTACAAGATTCCAGGCCCCAGCGCCTTCTAATGCACTAATCTGTTCTACAGAGTGATATGATACATTTTTTTTTGGTGTGTTGAAAAAAAAGAAAAGGACATGATAAAAGGGATAGGAAGGGAGAAGGAACATGGAAAAAGGCGAGGAATACCGAACCAAGATGGGGACACGCTGCCTTTTCTTCTTCTCTTCTACCAAGGCCACCATCCCTTGCTCTTCTTTGCGGGTTCCTCCTGAGACTGAGGTGTAACAGGGACGGAAACAGGCGTAGGAGCAGGAGCAGGAGCAGGAGCAGGAGCAGGGGCATGAGCAGGAGCAGGAGTTGACGTAGCAGCGTCCTGCTTCTTGCTGCTGCTGAACCAGGAACCGAGGAAGCCCTTGCTTTTGGTGTCCTTGTCGTCGGTGGTAGCGGGAGCAGAGGAAGAAGAAGTAGAAGGAGGAGAAGAAGATCCGCTAAGCTTGGGAGCAAAGTTCTCTTCGAAATGAGTTCGGTGCTCTGGAGGAGCCAGCAGAGGCGGCAGTTTCTCGCCCCTCTTCTGGGCCTCAAAATTGGCCTCCTCGACTAGGAGGATCTGGTCCTCTGTCGCGTCGCCCTTGAGGTAGGCGATGCGCGCGGCCGTGAGCTCGTCCGCCTCGAGCCTCTTCTGAGCCTCCACCCACTCGGCGCGGCGGGCACGGTTGTACTGGAGCATGTCCCATACTGAGTAGACGCTCACGACACCAGCGACGGCTATTTGCTATGAATTAGCATGTTTTGTGGCCCGGATCATCCCATTTGGGGAGGGAGGGGGTGGAAGCCTCCTGTTTGTGTGTGTGTGCGTGTGTGCGTGTGTGTAGACATACCCGTGAAGAGAATGACACCACCGATGGTGAATCGATGTGCGGCATCGAGAAACCTGCGCGATCGATCGAGGAAGCGATCCGTCTTGCTGATCTGGGCGGCCTGAGCGGCGAGATGGGCCTGTCGTAACCGCCGGACGCGCTGCTCGGGAGTCTCGCCGGGCAACCGGGGGTTCGGGATCGCGGTGGCTCTGCTGCTGTTGGTGGTCGCCGACTTGGATGTGGCGTGGGGGACTGTCGACGTGAAACGGGTAGCGTCTTTAACGCTCCTGGCCCCGATGCGAGATGCCATGGTCGCTGGCACGCACGCGCTCTCTCTTTTCTGCTCCCACCGTAGGTCTATTTCAATCGGGGCCGAAGACGAAGAAAATGATGGCGACAATGCGGATTGCGGCAGAATGGCAGTTGAGGGAGAAGTTGATGACTTTAGTGTCATTGGAGATTTTTCCCGCTGGGATCCTCGGGGAGAGTAGGGGCCGATGGGAATTCGATCAATTTGATTGGTCCGGGGGAAGCTCGGATGTGGGAGTCATCCTTCGTACTTGTAGAGAATGGCGAAGCGTTCGTGATGAGAGGGAGAGTCGAGATTGGGTGGGAGCCGCTATCTCAGTCGTCAGATCTGGAGTGAGAAGAGGAAAACAGGATAGTGTTTGGGGTAGTTGGATATAGTCTATCATCATGCGCATTGAGCTTCTTGTATGTTGGTGAAGCTTCTACGTGATGAAAGGAAACGGTTGTTGGAATCTCCCATGAGAGCTATGGAGACATGGACACAAGCGTGTCTCGATGTTGATGCAGATGCATGGTCTGACTTTAGATACGAAGGGATCAAATTCACGATTGGGACGAACATCAAAGTCGGTCGTTGAGCAAGCGCATGGTCACTTTTGATGACTGATGGCTACAACGTGATGTTTGGAGTTGTACCGGGTCGTGAGACGCGTAGACACCACGTTTCGAGGCCCATGATGGATACGGGTGCCAGGCAAGAGGCTACTTTTACATCATTATACTAGTACTCCGTATTACGGGCCTGATTGTACGGAGACAAAATACAAGTGCGAGGATAAGACCTGGCTGGGCGAGATATACACAAGAGGCACTTAGTTCCATGCCGAAATCTTGATCACATATACTCTACTGACGCGGTCAACACCAGGGGAGACGATCTTCCTCGTGGCGCTGCATAAAGCAAACGCTCACAATGAAAACGAAAAAAAAAGGGTTGAAATCAAAAATTACGCCCCCCATGGCCCCGAAGGGCAATGGAGTGCGGATCGACTCCGCGCTGTGCAATGCAGGCCATCCACACTGAATCCCCCGAATCTTGAGCTAGGGAATTCGGAACAAGGTAAGTATGAAGAAGAAAAGAAAGAAACAGTCAAATGGCGGGAGGCAGAAGAGACTTTTATAGTGCCAAAAAAAAAGTTTCTGCCTGAGTGTGGGAGCGCACGGACCACTTCCAGGCAACAAGGCGGCAGGGCCTTTCTGAGCCAGCAGTCTACAAATAATAATAGTACTCCGTACCAAAAGAATAACTGACTAAGGCAGTCAGCCCGAACACACAAATCCTCAGGCCACGGGAAAATACCCAGAGTGGGAGGCACGTGATTTGCACGAAATTTCCTGCTGGTAAGCCCGCACCCGCACAAACTTTTGAGAGACCAGCCCACACCCGGCCCCCAGAGAAAGGGATAAAAAAAAAGAGGTACGTACCCGCACCATAACCATCCACTCCCGTAGGGCACGGAAACCCTTCAGTGCAACTTGATCGAAGCATCTCCAATCCGAAATTTCCACGCCTCACGACCGACCCGTACTAACCGCCAAACTGGGAGCAGGCTTGATCGCAAACAGTCAAAATGGTAAGTCGAATACGCCTGACACGTATCGGGATTGCATATTCCATACGGAAAGATTATATACTGACAGTTTTTTCTCTTTTCCGTCCACAGGCTATCGCCCACAACCAGAAGATCGTCAAGACCCGTGAGCCAACCCACCGATTTCTATCCAGCCCCTCCTGCTCTTCCTCACCCCTCTCCGATTCTACGAAAGCGACGCTGAGATGGGGAGGAGGAAGAGATGACCAAGATGCCAGACATGTGTATGATGGGAATAGAGAAGCTGACTGCGTCGAATAGATTTCCGCAAGGACTGGCAGCGTAGGGTCCGCTGCCACTTCGACCAGGTAAATATTCAAACCCTGCCATATTTCCTCTTTGATACAATGGATGGCAAGGGTTCTGACAAGAGTCTTTCTTCTCTCCGATATAGCCCGGAAAGAAGGCCTCGAGACGTTCCGCCCGTCAGGCCAAGGCTGCTGCCATCGCCCCCCGCCCCCTCGACAAGCTCCGCCCTGTCGTGCGATGCCCTACCATCAGGTACAACCGCCGTGTCCGTGAGGGCCGCGGTTTCACCGTCGCTGAGCTCAAGGTAAGGCTGGGACAACCCCATTCGATCCCAGACAGAGAGGAAGGAGACGAATTTGTGCTGACTATTCTTTCCTTCCCTGTGTGCAGGAGGCTGGTATCCCCACCCGCTTTGCCCCCACCGTCGGCATCGCCGTCGACCACCGTCGCCAGAACGTCAGCGAGGAGTCGCTGGCGGCCAACGTGGCCCGCCTCAAGGCCTACAAGGAGCGCCTGATTGTCTTCCCCCGCAAGTCCAACAACCCTAAGAAGGGCGACACCAAGGTCAACCCTCGCGAGGTCGAGAGGGCCACCTACATCAACGACGCCCTCCCGGTCGCCAACGAGGTTCCTGGCTTCAAGGAGATCTCCAAGGCCGACCTGCCCGCCCCCATCGAGGGCGGCGCCTACGCCAAGCTCCGCTACGCCCGCGCCATCAAGCGCTCCCAGGGTGCCCGCGAGAAGCGTGCCCGCGACGCTGCCGAGGCCGACCAGAAGAAATAAGCAAATCGGTCGGCACGCTTACGAAGGGGACTACCAAAAAAAATATGATGAAAAAAAACGAAAAGAACATAAAAAAGACTTGTGGGCTCGGGGAAGGATCTACGGAGGAGGCTTAGGGAGGGTGAAAAACGGGGTTTTCCCCCACCCTCTGTGTGTTTCGTCCTGCCAGGCGAAAGGAAGGAAAGGGCATCTCTTTTTACTTGTTTGCGACGACTTTCACCATACAATGAAAAAAAGGGTTTCTTATCCGGTGTTTTTTTACGGTCAAAATTCTTTCTTTGCTCTTCACCCTTCTCCTTCTCCAAACGTAATATGGGGGCATATCGGTCTAAGCAGCAAGCATCCCTCCCGATCTCACCTGTGCTGTGCCGTCATGCTCTTGATAGGATTGTCTAAAAGGCCCAGGTTCAACCATGTCCATTTATAAAGCCTATGAATGAATTGGAAAGTTCATGTCAAGACAGAATCATTTGAATGTGTGTCTATGTTCTATTATGTCTCTTATCTTGTTGTTCATCTCATTCTACTTGGCACTTCGTTCCGTCACAATCGCCTCTGTCCCCTCCTTGATCAAGCCCTGCCACATACTCACCCTCTGAGCAGACAACTCGTCGGCGCCGTGACGCAGCATCTCCTGACACATGACAATGGCGTTCTCGCGATCCACGCGGGCCATCCCGGCCTTTTGTCTAGGGTCAATCTGCTGCGGTTCCAGCTCGAGCTTAGGCACACCGGGGGAAGTGATGGTCTCCGCCCCCGCCTCCGACGCCTCCGCCGCTGCTGGCTCGATGGCCTTCTTCTCCCTCTCCTCGTCGCCGATAGCGGGTGTGACCTCTGAGGCGGGACGACCGGTGATGGCCTTGACAAGCATGTTTGCGACCTCGTCATCGGCCGTGATCTTTGAGACGACGTGGCTCCCGTCTCTGGAGCGGCACATGAGTGCCAAGACGAACCATGCCTCCGAGCGGAGGGACGGCCACTTTGGCTGGGTGATGAGGAAGGATAGCGGGGTGGCCAGGTCGTGGGCTGAGTAGAAGCGGGCGCGACGTTTGCTGTCGTCATCCCCCTCGTCGTCGCCGTCGGGGTCATCCCAGTCTGGTAGGATGGCTCGGACGGGGTTGGAGTGCAGGACGCGGCACAGGGTGGCCACGGCGCGAGCAGCCTCCATCTTGGTAGGCTCCGCGTCTGTGCGGCTGAGGAGGGAGCATAGGGACGCGACCACGGTGCCCTCGTCATGGTCGTCGTCGGTCCGGCGCTGACGCTGGCGCTGGCACACCCGCCTCACGTTATCGGGGCAGTCGACCAGCAGTAGACGCGTGAGCGACGCAGCCGTGTACTGGACCTGGGGCATGGTGTCGAGGGTGAATACGCGGGGCATGCGCTGGCTGTCGAGGATGGGGCCGAGCACGGGCTTGTTGGCAGGCGGGATGCCGAGGTTCTTCAGGAACGACATGGCGGCATGGAGGGACTGGGCGTCAGCGGTGGCAGGGTCCGACAGCAGCCCGATGAGTGGAACGTGGGCCTCGTAGGTGGCCACCAGGGCCGTTGACGTCTCGTCGGACCGGGAGAGGTTGCCCAGGGCGAGGCAGGCTGCTGACCGGAGCGGGGTGTTGCCCCCCCGGAGCCACGAGAGGAGCGTCTCGGGGACGGGCGTGCCCAGCGGGTGGTGCCGGCCGAACTCATCGAGGCCCGTGACGTCGGCCAGGATCTTGTGCAGCGAGCCCCTCAGGCTCTTGACGGACTCTGCCTCGTCGGGCTCCTCGACCTCCAAAGCCGTGTTGGCGTGCTGGACCGTGTCGAGCAGCAGGAGCAGCTGGCCGGCGTCCTCGACCATGCGCTTCTGGAAGGGCTCGCTAGCCAGGTACGCCGATGCGGCGGCCGAGAGCGAGATGAAGTCGGACGGCTCGTCGCGGAACTCGGGCTGCTGGCACAGGCTGAGGAGGTTCCTGACGGTGAGGGGACTGGCCCTCTCTGCCTCGCCGTCCTGTGTGATCAGGAGCCCGAGGATCTTGCAGATGTAAGACACGAATGGGGCGTAGTCTGTTATCTTGGGTGAAGCAATCAGCTCCACGAGGCTTGTGCTTAATCCGGCCTGTGAGGCCTGAATCTGTGCCAATTCTAAAGAGGAAGGGGGGGGGCGGGTGTTAGTTAGCATGCAGGATAGATGGATATAGATATAGATAGGGAGAGAGAGGGAGACAGATAAGCTCACCGTAGTCAACAAGGACATTGTAGAGAACGGGGATAGCCAGGGGAATCGCCGTGTCATCCTGCAAACGACGGATGATATCCTTGAGATGGCCACCGTCGATGACCCGAGCACGGTTCTCGTCCGTGTCGGCGCACGAGTTGCCAATCAGACGGAGAGTGTGAAACTGCAGAGCCGGTCGCAGCGAGTGCGAGCCGATGACCTCCAGGAACAGCGACAGCATACCGGACTGGCCATATGGAACACGCCACGCAGCTGATGTGTTGAAATCCGGATGTTAGAAAAACAAACGGGGTGAGCGGTTTTGGAGCAAGGAGGGTGAGCTCACCATCGCGGCTACCATCGGCCAGTTTCTGTGCGACGACGTCTAGGTCTTCGGAACCAGACGACCACAGATTTCTGCACTCCGAGACAACGTCTGACAGGACCTTTACGCGGCGACTCTTGATCTCGTCAGACTCTGGCGTTTCGTCGTACTCGTCCGGGCTGAGCCCGCTACCCTCACGCTGGAGAAGGGAAGCGATTTCTTCGGCTCTTGACGCCATTGTTCTTCCTGTTGTGTTGTAACTATACCTGCCTTCCTCTTCTTCTTATCCCTCTCTCTTCTTTGTCTTGTGTTTATATGTTTCCGAACGGGAGAGTGCTATTTAGATCAATGCCATTTACTCCGTATGATATGTGTAGGTTTTGGTCTTGGATGATGATGAGGAGGAGGATGCCCAAGACCGATTCAGAGTCGACAGAGGAGAAGAGTATGAACAAGAGCAACGCAGTGAAGATGGCGATGCTGGGATGTAACACAACTTCTTTCTCTCTTTCTGCTCCTGCTCTCTCATCTCTCTCTCTTCCGAGTCGGACAGTCGTTGGGCGTGGAGGTGGGATGAAGCAAGTTCAAGGGTGGGGGAGAACCAATGACAGCCGTGACACTAGTAGAGGGGAGCTTTTGCCTCGGTGAGCATGGAGTTCGGTGAGTCCTCCGGTGGGCCAGGTAGACCTACATAATAATATACATATGCTGAGAGTATACGGAGTACACGTCCCTTTCTTTTGGTATTATCCAGACTTTCCTCTCCACTACTTGGCCGACTATTGCCATAATCAGCATCATCATGACCATCGTTTCTAGTCCCTTATTCCTTGTTAAAAACGCACATCCGTTGCATGTGTGGACAGCTAAGAAGAAGCTTCGAGAAATACAGACCTGTAAATGTACACGACGTTTTACTTGGTGGACTCCAGTACAGAACAAGACACTAGACACGCCGCCTACAGCGCCTCTCGATCCGATCCGGCGCGGAGAAATATTGTTCCCCCCTGTAACGAAGCAGGAGCGAGCCTGCCAGCCTGCGCGCGCACGAAATCTACGACGACCGAGACTTTCCTCTCCAGGTCGGCATCCTTTTTACTTTTCCCTCTTCCCTTTCCCTTGCCTCCCTCTCACTCTCGCGTCCAACCCTCTCATCCGAGGTCTCGAACGTGTTATTTCTTAACGCGTGAGTGCGTTGCCGAGAGCATTCATTTCTCTTCTCTTTCTTTGCTGCGGTATTTTACTTTTCATTATCATGGTAAGCTATATCCCCCATCATCGCTTTTTTTTCTCTGATGCTTTGCTTCGCTCGCTTCTTGCTCTTGAAAAAAACATCCCGCTTTGTTTTTTACTCGTCTTTTTTTTTCTCGTTCTTTCTTAGTCCTCGCTCCGCTCGCTTCGTCTCTCGTCGCTCCTCTTTTCTTCTTTCTCATCCTCCCTTGACACGTTTCGCTTTGCTCGCTCATTCTGACAAGAAATTATAGGCGCACAAATTCGTCTTCACAGCCTTCCTGACGGGCTCCCGCATCCTCGGCCGATCCTTCGCAGCAGCATACAAGCAGGCCCAGGCCGCGACGGCCTACCAACGCGCCCAGGCCAAGGCCGGCAACACCGTCGGAGGCGGCGCCTCCCTCTCGTCGGGCATGACCCTGGATGAGGCCTGCCGCATCCTCAACGTCAAGCCCCCGGCCGGGGGACAGGCCAACGTCGACGAGGTTCTCCAGAGGTACAAGAGGCTCTTCGACGCCAACGACCCCGAGAAGGGCGGCAGTTTCTACCTCCAGAGCAAGGTGTTCCGCGCCAAGGAGCGCTTCGAGAGGGAGCTCGGCCCCATACGCGAGAAGATGGAGCAGGAGGCCGAGATCAAGGAGGGGTTCAAGCCAAAGATTTACAAGGACCGGTAGGTCTTTGGGTGAGAGACGGGTCGGGGACAGCTAAATGGTAACCCGCTGATGATACCTGTCGCAAAACCTCATTGACGCGAGAATACGTCACTGGAATGGACCCCCCGGGTTCACCAGAGAGAATGATCTTGAGGGTGGAGAACGTATGTTCTGACTCCCCTGTATTACTTTTTTTTGTACATCTTCACTCGACTTTGGCATGGCACGGCGTTTTTTCCCTTCTTATTAAACCTGTACGGAGAGGGGGGGTGTTGGATTGACTAGACCAAGAAAAAAAAGGAGAAGAACGAGCCAGAGGGAGGTGTTATCAACCACCACTCTTTCAATTCGTCATATATTATATACAAAATCTGTACCTGTACAGCTTATATCCTTGTATCGCTAGTGACCCATGCTTCTTAGACACCTGGGAAAGGAGTTGGGCAGCATCCGTACTGGTACAATCCTGTTTTATAGAGCACCCAAGTGCGTCAGACTTTCCTCCTGACCAAGCCCTTCCAGTAGTCAAAGCTGTTCTCATCGCTCTGCAGCGTCCACAGCCTGCCTACCCCCCTCCCGTGGCCGTCGATCTCCTCGACGCGCAGCATGCCCCAGTCTCTGGTGATGCCGCGCACGCGGGCCCTGGCGCCGCTTTCCGTCTCCAGGGTGATGAGCTGGTCGGTGTGCAGCCAGTGGCGGTAGTACCTATTCTCGAGGTTGACGGAGAAGCCCTCGCGCACGAACTGGGCGTGCACCGTCTCGAGGCGGGTGAGGATGCAGGCCAGCAGCGCCTCGACGCGGAAGGCGGACGCGGCCCCCGGCGGCAGCAGGTCGCTCAGGGACGTGGTCGGGCGCGGGTTGGTGGCGTTGATGCCGACACCCAGGACGACCTTGTAGGCGCCGTCGGTGTAGATGCACTGCGACAGGATGCCGCCGACCTTGACGTACTGGCCCGACGACGGGTTGTCCGGGTTGAGAGCGTAGATGTCGTTGGGCCACTTGATCTTGACGGGCAGCCGCTCGTACCCGTCCGCGTACGACCGGATGCCCTCCACTATGGCTATGGCGGCGATGTACTGCAGGAACACGATGGGGCGCGAGATGGCCAGGCTGGCCGAGTGGTCGATCACGGTGGAGAAGATGAGCGCCCCGGGAGGCGCTATCCACACGTTCGTGCCGCGGCCGCGTCCGGACACCTGTGTCGATGCTGCCAGGGTGACGCCTGTGGGGAGGGTGCTCAGGAGTTTGGGGTTTCTGTGCCAGGGCAGCTCTGTCAGCATGAGTGTTGTGTGTGTGTGTGTGTGCGCGCGCGCGTCCTCGGAGGGGAGTGAGCAGTCAACCTACGTGACGAGTATAGTGTTGGTGCTCGTGACCGTGTCGCCGTACAGCAGGACGTCGCCCCAGCTCGAGACACCCGGCTCGCGTGCCTGATAGCTCTCCAGACTGGAGTAGTACAGCTCGTGGTTGAACAGGGGCGTCTGCTCGGGCGACGGGAGACCCTTCTCGTGCGCGACGATCGTCTTGACCACGAGGGCGTAGTCGACCACGCCGCTGCCGTCCAGCACGCCGTCGGCCAAAGGCAGCGAGCGGCGGAGCTCGTCCATGCTCACCTGAGCCTCACCGCTCTGGATGCGGAAGGTGTCGGCCTCCCCCCTGATGAGCTCCTCGCTGTCGCCGTCCCTCTCGATGATGGGGTCCCACGAGCGGAGAAGCCGGGACAGCTTGCCGCCGTTTCCGGACGTGAGGTGCATGCTCGTCAGGGCGGGGAGGGCCTGCGCCGTCCGGCTGGGTTCGAGGCCCAGCTTGGAGAGGCAGGCCCGGAGGAAGGCGAGGCGTGAGTCGTCGACGGCGGCGAGCTGGGCGATCAGATCTGCGTAGTGTGGCACGTCGGGGTGCGGGCTCAGCTGGGCGGCGGCGAACCTTGCAGGACAGTGTTAGGGAGAGGGAACCAGCACCAGTTCGGGAGATGGGGAGTGTCATACTCTGGATGGGGTCCCGTGAGCAGAGCCTTGCCGCTGCCCAGGTGGCAGAGCACGACGGCGGCGTCGCCCCCCTGGACCTCAACCTCGTCGGCGTACGAGGCCAGCACCTCGACCTTTTTGGCACCAAAGCTCTCGGCATCGACAAACAAGCCGCCACCGTTGAAGTACGACGTCGTCTCCTCGTGGGTGAAGTCGTCGTCGAGCAAGCCTCTCGCGAGCTTGAGCTTGACAGCACGCGCCCCCTTCTCGGAGTAATAGTCGAACCCGCCATACGCGGAGCCCCTACAGGTCCCCGGGAAGAAGCCCAGCTCCCTGCTTCCGATCACCTCGAGTGAGCTGTCCCCCACGGCAAACTCGCAGCGACGACTACCATAGTAACCCCCCGCACAGAAGCCCAGGTACGATCCGCCGCGGCGGACGTAGTCGACGATGAGGCGGTTCCCGGCACCGTTGAGGGCACGGCCGTATCCCAGGTCGGCACCTCCGGGGATGACGAGGAGAGCGCAAGTCTGAGCCCAGGGCTCCCTGAGCAGGACGGTCTCGTTGATGGGGATGATGGCGTAGCTCGGGGTCAGGAGCTGGCGGAGGGAGAGGATGCAGTGCCTCACTGACTCGGATGTTGTTCCGGTGCCTTGAGGGGAGGGTTGAGCTTTTGGAAGAGTCTCTTCATATCTCATATTTCTCTGGGGTTTGCAAAGAGAGAGAGAGAGATAGACTTACCCGTGTATACAAGAACATTGAGTTTTCGCGGAGTCATGATGTGCGTATTGTGTGAAGTGTGTCAAAGGTACAAGAGGGAGTCGGTCATACGAGGAGGTGAGCTGAACTCTCTGTGCTCTTTCTTTAGTTAGGAGAGCGCGCCAAATTTAGTACCGACCCTCTGATTCTCGCAGAATCATTGACATCTTAATCCCCTCCTCCCTCTCCCCCCCCCCCCCCCCCCCCCCCCCCCCACATGTAGACGGACGGCTCCTTTTTAAGGATCCCATCAAAGGACAGAGCCGGCCAGCGCAATGGGACCAGAAGATTCCCGAACGTATAGGAAAATCTCGGAGAAGGAGACTGCGAAGGAAGAAGAGCGAAATACGCAGGTACAGCAGGTCAATGACGATGATGAGCCTGATGAATGGTGAGTCCTGGTCAGAGTCAATCACCGGATTGGCACAGGATCTACGACTCCCAGCCATCAAACCGCTGACATTGACATGTTGAACAGGGACAGACGAATCTTCAGCACTGGATGCGCAGGTAAATCAGAGAGAGAGGCAGAGAGGCAGAGAGATGGTCACAAAAAGCTCACTTTGTTCAGATGAGAACGCAAAAATGACAGACTGCTACTTTGAAAAGAAGGATTGGAGAGCCTGCGCAGCCGAGGTACATATATTCCAGCATCCATCCATCATTCTTCCTCTTCTCCTCCTCTTCTTCCACTGCGGTCTATCCGGGATTCAGGTGCTGACGTGACTGTAGATGGAGCAGTTCAAGCAGTGCTGGAAGATGCACGGCAATGACACGCGCACATCGAGCAAGGATACATGAGACCTGGGTTTGGGTGCGTGGGAGATTGGGAAGGAGATTCAGAGCTGTATAGATATTTTTGTAACGTGTACTCATCTCTAGAACATAATATATACTTCATATATATATACCCCGTATTTCAAAAAGAATGCAAACTTGGTGATCATTAGATTCATTGAACCATCCCAGTGATTCGGGCTTGCGAACACGTAGGGGAGCCCGCTACGTACGCCACGAATCCCAAACGCGTGGGAAGAGAAGAAGAAGAAAAAGAAAAAAAGAAAAAAAAAGATAACCTCCCCCCCCCTCAAGGTAACTGTGCACCAAAGCTTCTCCCCTTTGCTTCCTACATCAACACACAACACACATACATACACACACACACACACGACACACCCAGCAACATCAACAACAATGCTTCCTCTCCGCAGAGCTGTACGTGCAGCCTCTCCAAACGTCAGTCGCACACTGCGTCAATCACAGCAGCAGCAGCAGCAGCAGCAGCAGCAACACATCCGCTTCTACTCCAGCGATTCCACCACCACCACCACCACCACCACCACCGCCGCCGCCGTCGCCGCCGCCGACGCCGCACCCGCAGCGACCACGACAGGAGCAGCATCTGCTAACAAGCCCACATACGCCAAGAAGCCCACGTACAAGTACAGCAAGACTGTGACGCCGACGCCGACGCGTGCCGCTCCCGCTCCCGCTCCCGCTGCCGCCCCCTTCTACCGTGCCAGCAACCCGGACCGGTCGACCGAGGCGACGGACGGCGAAAACATCAGCTGGACGACCAGCTTCCACGGTATATCGACCAAGCCCGTCACGCGCGAGCAGTACGCCACCCTGATCAAGCCCCTGTCCGAGAAGGACATCGAGGTCAAGCCCGAAGGCATCATCTACCTCCCCGAGATCAAGTACAGGAGGCGTCTCAACGAGGCGTTCGGTCCCATGGGCTGGGGTCTGATTCCCAGGGGAGAACCAAAGGTCGAGACTAACATTGTCACGAGGGAGTATGCCCTTATCGTGGATGGAAGGTGCGTTGTACACACACACACACACACACACACACACACACACACATATATATATATATATATTTATATATTTATATATATATCCTCTCCTCTTCACCTTTTTCCGACTCACTGTTTTGGGGTTGGGGGATGAAGGAAATTGGAAAAGGAGGAGGAGAAGAAGTGAAGAAGAGAATCTGTAAATGATATACTGACATGAAATGGGTCAGATTCGTCTCACAGGCCCTAGGAGAAAACTCCTACTTCTCCCCCGAACAGCTCCCGTCCGCCATCGAAGGTTGCAAGTCAAACGCCCTCATGCGATGCTGCAAGGACCTGGGAATCGCCTCGGAGCTCTGGGACCCGGAATTCATCCGCAAGTTCAAGCAGACAAAGATGAAGGAGGCCTGGGTCGAGCACGCCACCACCAAGAAGAAGCGCATCATGTGGTTCAAGGCTGGCCAGGTTGATCCCGTCTACCCTTGGAAGCTGTCATGAGATGCTCATGCACGCACGAAACCAGACGTGTAACCTGCATCGTCGTCGCACAATCCATGTACAATTGCGAAAGACAGGATCGGGAAAAAAAAAAAAAAGAACGGAGCCAAGTGGAGGAAGCAAGTCGACAATGTACCGATATGATAACAAGAAATGTACAATAGTGGTGGGAAGCCAAACCCGCCTTCATCTTTCAGGATACGCAACAATAGATATATATATATATATATACAACATATGATCCAGCGCAATAAACAAGGAGCAGTGTTGAAATTTGGTATGTGGGTAGACAGAAAATGAAAATGAGAAGACAGCCTTTTCCATGGATGTCTCCTATGCATCGAGCTCTTCAAGCCAGAATTATTACCTCATATCCCGCGAGCCAGGCATATGATGATGACGGAAAACCAGTAAAAGGAGTGACCAGTACAAAACAGACCAGAGAGTTTCCAACGAGAGCAACAGAGAGAGAGAAGATGAAGAAAATCTAGCACAGCGCCTTACTCCTACCAAATTCATGAATTCGTCAACCGGCCCCTACTGCTGCTGCTGCTGCTGCTGCTGCTGCCTCTCCACACCCGAGCTCGAAGACCAATCCCACGGCATCCAGCCACCAGGGTTGGCAGCGCCGCCGCCGCCGGGTGTGTTTCTGCGTCGACGCGCAATCATCTCCTCTTCCGTACCGCTGTCGGCCTCTATATTCTCAAAGTCGGCTTCGCTGCGGCTCTTGCTCAGGCCGCTCCAGGCGCTCAGACCGCTGGGCGGACGCTGGGTGGGCTCCTCGTCGTCGTTGCTCGAGCTGCCGGCCTGCGTCTGCGTCTGCGTCTGCGTCTGCTGGAGCTTCAGGGCCTCGTTGTCGAGGGCGGTGAGCAGGGAGCTCAGCCTCTCGCGCTGGGTGGCGATGAAGTCCATCCTGTCGCCCGAGGACTGCAGGTCGGGAGGGATGACGACGTCGGCAGGGGACGACGACGACGACGACGGCGATGCGCCGGCGGCGGCGGAGCGGGTTCCGCTGCCGCTACTGCTGACGACACCCGCGGCGGCGTTGACGGCCCCGGAGAGCAGACTATACACGTCCGTGGGGCCGGTGTACCGGGCTGCGGGGACGCTGAAGCGAGCGAGGAGACTCTGCGTGTATCCCTGGGGGGTGGTCGTGGGCGGCGGTGTGGGCGGGTCGTCGCGCGGGGGCTGGCCGAGGAGTTTGGTCCGGATGAAGTCTATGGCCCGGCGGATGTAGACGAGCCCGGCTGCCTTGATGCGGTCGTGCGACGTAGCGATCAGGTCGTCTATGACGGCTTCGTTCTCTTGCAGGAAGGGGTGGATTCTCTCCTGGTAGATGACGCGGGCGCCTTGGGTCTGGGGGAGGATGAGGTATAGGAGGAACAGGAGTCTGATGTAGCCGTAGAACGGGATCCTGCCGAGGGGGGGGAGGCGGTACGCGTCAGCTGGGCTGGTCTCCCCCGCGAGTGGGAAAGGTGACGGAGAGGTGAACATACCAGAAGAGGATGAACGACACCCACGACTCAGCTAGCATGCAGCAGCTAAATACAACCCAGTACATGAGCCATGGCGTCAACTGAGCAGGATCGGACGTCTTGAGGGCCTTGTACGATGCGAATATGGGGAAGAGAAAAGAAGTGACGGAGCTGTCATGGTCAGCGGTGGGGTTCTGTCGTTTAGCTACTACTACTAGTAGCTAGCTGCGCAGTGACGTCTGGCGGGGTAAGGGAGCGAATGAAGGGTGTCGGGTGCGACGGTCGGGGAGACGGGACACTCACGACAAGAGCATGGCAAAGAGGTCAAACATGGCTTAGTAGGTTGAGCCAAGATGGCTCGGATGCCTGGGCGGGGTGATGTTGGTGATATATGGAGAAGAGGAGGCCTCTGGGCAGAGTTGAGGGGATACGGGTCGGGTTGAACAGATAGATGGGGAAGAGTGAGAGAGAGAGAAGATGGTAGAGAGGAGGAGATGAGTCAGAGGAGATGAAGAAAGAGATGGATAGGGAGAGGGAGGAGAAAGACAAGAGTAGAAGATGAGATGGGAATAGGATTGTGAGATGATGGCAAAGAGGAGCAGAAGAGAGACAGACACAGAGAGATACGAGCGTCATGTGGTGTCCTGTGAGGGGCAGGGATTGGGCGTGTGCTGGATTTGGTGGTGGCCGGTGGTGGGGTTCTACAAGTAGTTCTAGGGGTCCCCCGCATGCGGATTGATACAATACAGATAGGAGTCCGTACTAGTACCGATAGGCTTGTAGTGATCTTCGATACTCTGCACCGGGAGCGTGTCGTAGGAATGGGAAAAGGGCAGGATTCATTCTCTACACGGTACAAGTATCGCCAAATCCCCGAAGATTTCATAATCGTTCTCATGAGTGACATCCGTATGATGAGCCTGGATGGAAGTACCGGCTCTCCATCTGTCTCTCCCCCCGGCCCGTACGGAGTAGGTGGGTACCGGCACCCTTGCTTTACAGTGGCGAGCATCACTGGTAAAGCGCACTAACCGCCCTCCGGCAATATTGATAATAATACTGCTACAGAGCGCAATACACACTAAGACGCAGGTACAGTCACACCGTCAGCAACATTCAATATCAGCAGAATTTCCAGCAGAATCCGATCCTGCTGGTGATACGGATGCAGATGGTATCACTCCGTACGCATTGATCATACGACGCACGCGCGATGCAGACTGACCTCGCCGCCTCTTTCCGTCAAACGTTGGCTTCAATCAGCCAAGACGGCATCGGTTCAGCATGGGAGCATGGGAGGAGGGGGGGAGACGATGATGACGACTGACACCCGGTGACGTATCCCGGGTAAGTTACCGCAGCTAGTATTAGTGTTACACGTAGAATCAACAACTGACAGAACTAAATAAAACCAATCTCGTATAGCAAACACTGCTACGTTTACGGTCACTACGGTTATCACTACTGGATATCGAATGGCAGTAATCTGTACATGTAGTGATAGTACCCATACCCGTACTATCGCTACGAGGATACCTCCTCTCCATCTTCTTAGGCAGCCTTGTGAGTCGTGTCTCTCATCAAAGGCAGGAGCAACCTGGAGAGTTGCTGCCTCGAGAGTTTGAACCATGGTCAACCTCAGGCTGCCACTTGATCTCAGCTCTTGTGCTCCTCGACTAGAATCCATTGCTTCGACTGTTCAAATCTATATAGAGCGACGTCTCCATCTATCCAGACTTCCTTTGCAAATACCACCATGGAAAGGGTCACGTTGGAATTGTACCGCAGCTCCTTCTTCACCCGTCCCTTGAGCGGCCTGACCGACCTCCACGCCACGAACCCACCAGGCCTGACCAGGACGGAACCATGCTTCTCAAGTCAAATGTGCGCTCAAGATTTCCCCCATTGACTTCGATGACCTCGTCCCCCCCCCCCCCAACATGCACAGAGACGGGCTTGACCTGTCCTGCAGTAACGAGGACAGGATGCCGCCACCCGTCGTCTGTCGATGCGGAGACCCACGCGTTCCCGAACAAATCGAGCGACGAGATCTCCTACTTGCTTCTCACGAGGGGAACGTGGGGCGCCCTGGTCCCCGACTGACCAGCCCGTTCCTGCGGCGCCTTGGGCAGGCGGCATGCCCTCCTCCTGGCCCAGGAAGCAAAGGTCGAGCGACCCACAGCCTCGTGGCATCGACTATGCCAATATCCTCGCCAAAAGTAGGCCGGGCAACCCGAAGAACAGGCTCACACCCTGTCGTGGGTTACGGCAATGTCACGCTCGGGTGACAGAGCAGACGGTAGCCGGAGCCGCAGCAAGAGCATCATGTTCGCCACTGCAAGGTCCGCCCTTATCATGGGTGGGCAGCTTCTGGGTCCGCACCTGCTCCTCATTCCATCCACTTACCTGCCAAGCTCTCGACGGCGACACGCCAGGGTAGTCCGTTGATCCACTACATGCTGCTTGGCAGATGCGAGGATGCGCCCACGGATTGCAGCAGCTCCCTAGTACGTGTCGTGTAGCTGATGGCGCGAGAGTGGACGGCGCTCCCCGTGCGACGCCCGACCAGGGTGACAGGGACTTTGCAGTGGGATAGAAAGACGGCTGTAGACAGGCCGACTAGGCAGCCGCTGTTTGGAGTATTTCCATGTTTGGTGTGAGGCGTATCAGAAAAATTTTCTTGTTGGGAATAACATGGACGATATTCAGTAATAGAGGAAAATAAGGGGAACGGGTTCAAACATTGTCGGGGTCGTGGACCCTTTACACATGTGAGCCCTTCGGGACCGGTAACCTGTTGCCGGACTTGTCTGTCTCTAGAAGGGTATATGTGGTGACCAATGATGGAGTTGGGGGGTGAGGGGTGAATGAGGGGCCGAGACTAAGTGCTCACCGTGGATCTATAGCGGAGGTCCGGACCGTGCGCGTCCGGGGCCGAAAGATGATGCGCGGCCCCGAGTTGCGTTGTGCCAGAGGCCCGATCCCGTGATGTGCACTTACACCAGCCGCAGCAGGTCCTCGTCACCGACACAACTGACATGCAATGACAGAAAACTAGACACATCGTTCAATATAAGAAGAAGAGAGAATGTAAGAAGAAAAGAACTTTATATACTGCTCATCGATTTTTTCTTCTCGATTCATTTATTCATATACATCCTCCCCCCCTTCCCTCTAGAGGCAACTCTCTGTCTCAGGGCCTGTCAGGCCACAGTTCGGCGGCGACGTCCTTGACAAGCTTGAGCTTGGCAAACATCCTTTCCTCGGTCATCCCGTCGGCGCCGACGGCCACGCTGGCGAATCCGCACTGGGGGCTGATGCCGATGTCCTGCATGGCCTCGTCGACGGAGCGCCCCTGACCCTCGGCGATGACGTTGGCGGCCTCGAGTATGCGGTCCCTGATAACCCGACCGTCCTCGAGGGCGGGATCCTTGGTGGTGACGACGCCCAGGACGACGTTCTTCCCCACGGGGAGGTGACGGAGCGGCTCGAAGCCACCGGATCGGGGGTCGTCATACTCGAGAAAGAAGGTGTCGTAGTTTAGGGTCGTGAAAAAGCGTTGGGCGATTTTGTCGTAGGATCCTGAGCTGAAGTGCTTTGATTTGGCAAAGTTGCCTGTGCAATAGATTTTTTTTGACATCGGGTTAGCATGTTCTATATATATATGTGTGTGTGTGTGTGTGTGTATGTATGTGTTTCTGTAAGAGAGAGAGAGAGAGACCAACCCCTGCAGATGTGAAGACCGACGTGAAGACCCTCGGGACGACCGGCGATAGCATCATTGTGAGCCTTGAGGTACGTGTCAAACAGGGCGTCCGGGTCGTCCCCGTCATCCCTGAGAGCCTGGAGCATGTCTTCGGAGCAGAAGTAAGCGAGGGTGGGGTCGTCGATCTGGAGGTTACGCAGCCCGTCGTCGTACAGGGTGCGCAGCTCAGCCTGGTAGGCCCTGGCGAGGTCGGCGAAGAAGGCGCCGTCGTCCGGGTAGACGTTCCTGTCGTAGCACTTACCCGTCGCGAGGCGCAGGTGGAAGTAGCAAGGCGGGGGCATGGTGAATTTGCACTCCGCCCACCGGTCGCGGGCCACGGCGTCCCTCAGCATGCGCCAGTTGGGCAGGTACGGGCTCGCGCCGGCGTCGTAGGTGATCTTGCTCTCGCACACGGCCGCCATCATGTACTGCTGGCCGGCACGGCGGAGGGCTGCGATGGGGGGCGCGGCCAGGCGCGCCAGGTCCCACGGCACGGGCGCCACCTCCCGAAAACCGCCGAGCTTCTCGAAGAAGCCGGAGAAGTACCACTTGCGGTCGAACTCGCCCGACGTCAGGGCCCGGACGCCGTGTTCCTGCTGCTTGTGCACGATGGCGGCTATGCTGCTCCGCTGCACGGCTTCGAGCTCCGAGGCCGTCATGACGCCTGCGTCAGCCTGGGCCTGAGCATCAACCAAGTCTGGTGGTCGGATCAGGGATCCTATATGGTCGGCATGGAAGGGAAGCCTCATTTTCTTCTGGTCTTTTTTTTTTTCTGGTTATATATATATATATATATATATATATATGGATATATATATGGATATACTCTTACATATGAGCGAGTTGATGGTAAGGGCAAAGACAAAGAACAAGAAGAACAGGAAGAACAAGAAGAATAAGAAGAACAAGAAGAATAAGAGTAATGAGTAATAAGAGTGATAAGAGTGAAGGAGGGGGAGGAAGAAAAAATCATTTTATTCCCGTTCTCCATATCCCCCCCCCCTCCCTCCCCCCTCCCCCTCCCTACCTCGGAAATCAGTTCCGTTGACTTTTTGCCTATCTTCAGCCCTACTAGGAATATTACCTCAATGACATCCGAAAAGTGAGTGAGAAAGAAGACAAAAAGAAGAGAAGAAATACAGAGGAAACTAGTCATCTAGCCCACCCCCTCATTGTGGCTAGTCAACGGATCAATCGGGTTACGAAACCGGCAGTTCTTCATTCGTTGTTGAGGGGGTCCTCTAGACAAGGGAGGGGGGGGGAGAGAAACGCTAGTAGTCGGTAGGCTGTAGAAAACCCAAGGGACCGATTTCCCTGATGATTCGATTTTGATGGGACAGAGTGCGGGTTTGTGAGGGGAAGAGGAGGGTATAGGAAAAGGACTTTTCCATTCCCACGGTTATAATACGACTTTGTCGTGGGAGTGTGACTGACTGGGGTAGTATATGACAGACCATTGGCCAGAGAATCCGCCCCCCCCCCCCCCCCCCCCCCCCCCCCCTCCCCTCGGGAACATGACTCAAAGAAGACCGAATGACGCTTGATATGATAATTACGGAGTGCCGGTGATTGACACGTCGCACGCACGTACGGATACGGGGGGGGCGGTTCGTCTGCGTTCGTCACGGTAGGCGAGACATTTCCATTTTCGACGTGAGAAATCTCAGAATGCAGAATGAAGGGAAGAGGGTAAAAAGAGGAGCTCGGCTGTTGGGTTGGTACCTGAGAAGCGGATGACTTGGCATTTGACAGAAACATCTGATATTATACTATGAGACAGGAAAGAAAAAGAAGAATAGTGAGGATAGCAAGGAAGCAAGGATATTTATTACCTAGTCTTGAGTCGCAGGATGACGCCGGAAACTTCTTGGCATTGGTGCCAAGATGAACCGTTGGGAAAGAAGGGAAACAAAGGGTAGACGGCGTACATCAACACAGGCATCTAAGCATTCAACGGAGATGGTTAATCTTTGCAAAGGGAACACGATGTCTGGTATTATTATTATATATATGTCCCTTGTGTGATGTAGACGGCAGTACTACCTACCCTCTTCTGTAGGCTGTGATACCCCCCGGAAGACCGTGAGTTTCCCACGTAGATGGATGTGAATTGAATTGGAGGAGGATGAAAAGCCAGATGACGACATATCCCGTTAGGAAGTCATGATATTCAATAATAACATTCATAATTCATAATATTCAATGATGAGAATACCGACATCAGATGATGATTTGTCCGTTCTTCCATCAACCACAACGACCAACAAACCCTACAAGTGGTGCAGGGTATGTCTTCTCCCCCCCCCCCCCCCTTCCCTAGAATGAACTGCTGATAAGACATTGAAGCTCACCTTCTCAACTCTCTCCCTCCCGCTTCCATCACCCTGCTGCACACATCAAGTCTGAACCTTTCTATCCTGTCAGACAAGGATAAGAAACCGGATTGCGTCAGATATCCACGATAATATCATCAGCTCCGCCAAACCACACCCTACTACGGTCCCACCATGGCCGTCGACGTGCTCGACCTGGTCCTAGTCGAAGAGTATGAGGGCGCGCCATCAGTAGCTTCTGAAAACATCCGTCAGTGTTTCCATGCTCATTACCTGGGAATACGTGCTGCGGAAAGAAGACACCTCGAGGACTAACCTCAGACCACCCCCCTCCCCCATCCACAAACAACATGGCGTGCTTGGCCTCTTTAAGCCAAGCCTCGCATCAGCCGTGATGGTGTGTACAGCAACAACAACAATGATCGACACTGGAATCGCCCAAGATTGAAGGATTTGGGCCCCTGGAAGACGGAAACACGAGAGAACTGATATCCTCTGCCATCTCTCAGTCAAGGGGGGCTGAGACATGCCATGACGCGACACCATCGAGAAACCCGAACGCCAGAACACCACCATTCCGCACGACTGTCTCAGCTATGAGACTAACTCTGAGGCCAACAGCTACCTCACTTGCTCATCACATCCGCTCCTCCCTAGCCTTGGGAAATTTCTCAACTCGGTTTTCAAAACACGGCAGGATCAAAAGAAAGGATTCCGACCCCATCCGGTCTGAGGGGGAGAGTCATGAAATCAGACAACAAGCCAGAGTCAGCTGACGTAGACTGCTTTCGTCGGTTGAGGAAGACGAGCAAGTATAAAGAGGAGCATTGGAGACTGCATTCTACCCTCCAGTCTCCATCTCCCATCTCATCACCACACATTCACCCTCATTGCCACGATGCGTCTCGACACAGCAGTAGCCCTCATGGGCGTCGGTGCGATGGCCCAGTTCCCCGGCTTCCCCGGAGGCAGCGAAATCCTCCCCAGCGTTCCCGGTCTTGGTGTTCCTACCAGCGGAGTCCCCCCTGCCCCCCCTGACAACCCCTTCGGAGTCAGCGGCGGCGGCAGCTTCGACGACAACAAGGACAAGCGCTGGGAAGTCCCCAGTGCCCCTCCTGGCTTCCCCGGCGGCGGCGGCGGCGGCGTCCCCAACGTCCCTCCTGGCTTCCCCGGAGGCGGAGGCGGAGGCGGAGGCGGTGGCGTCCCCAGCATCCCCGGTGTCCCTGCCAACGGAAACCCCGCCGTCCCTAACAGCCCCCCCGGAGCTGGCGGCGGCGGCGGCAGCTCCGACGACGACGACGACAAGGATAAGCGCTGGGAAGTTCCCAGTGCCCCTCCTGGCTTCCCCGGCGGCGGCGGCGGCGGCGGCGTTCCCAGCGTCCCTCCTGGCTTCCCGGGAGGCGGTGGCGGCGGCATCCCCACCAGCCTGCCCCCGGGTTTCCCCAACGTTCCTCCCGGAGCCTTCCCCACCGGCAGCTCTGGCACTACCAAGCCTACCAAGGCTCCTGGCCACGGTGACTCGGACGACGACGACGACGACAAGAAGAAGAAGGAGGACAAGCGTCACGACCACGGCCCCTCGGGCCTGACTCCCACTCCCACCCCTTCGCCTACGCTTGGACCTACGCCCAGCGTGCTGCCGCCGACTGTACCTGTTTCTGGGTCTTCCAAGGCCTTGCCTGCCTTGGGACTAAGCCTCGTGGCTGCTCTGGTCTTCTTCCTATAAGGTGTGATGTAGGGTTTCTTCTCTTGTTTTCCTCCCTTTTCTCTTCACTAGCTTCTTTTATTTTCTCGTTTTACTCCTGGATACTTTGATCAACTTTCAATATGAGATGCTGCGTTTTCACGGCCCCCCCCCTGACCTCTGCCATGACCACCTCAATGCATATGTCATGCACCGTGACTCATTCTTTTCTCTTTCCACACCAAACCCTTACCGAGAAACGGGCGGTAGATTTCTCGCAGGTGTTGCAAGTCCAGGTTGCACCGGATGCTACGCTGCCTGGACTAGAAAACGATGTGTCGCATGACCTGTGAGCGGGGGGGACTCTGAGCTCTCTGCAGGTGCTGTAGCGTAGGAATAGGACTCTCCGTGTGTTGAACAGGTGATGAGTAACGACAGCTATATTCGTGGGGGTCAACGGAGTATAGTGATAGTGGTAATAATGATGGTAATAATAATAGTAATGATAATAGTGATAATGATGGCGGATAATAATAATAACAACACAGCTATTCGTAGGATACACCGGTGTTTTCGTCTAGATCAGCCCTCGTGCACACGCCTCTCAGTACGGTAGTGGCCCATGGCTGGCTGGACCGGATTCCCGGGCCAAGGTCAGAGTGCGTTGTACATGTTACGTGTACGAGGAAAGGGGGGATGCACAGATGATTGCGACTTTCTCGCATCTAGATGTATATAAGTGATCGTTATGATCATTGGGGGATTTCCTCTGCAACTCGAAGCCGTGCAACCAACTGGTATCTTCCTCCATCTCCCAGACCAGCTCTACGGAAGATGCAGTCGCAGTATAACGTGCTGCAGAAGAGGAGAGATAGAAGAGGAGAGATAGAAGAGGAGAGATGGGAAAGGAGGGAGAGGGAGGGAGAGGCAGGGAGAGGGGGAGAGAGGGGGAGAGAGGGAGACAGAGTTGAGGGGTTCCGTGTTTGCAAACGTTTAGGGCATAGGAGAAAGGGGTTTCGTTGACCTGTGCGCTTCTCTACATGACCGAAGCTAGGGCAGACACACAATGTCCATCATACCCCCCCTGGCGACTAGGACTCAGGCCCGAGGGCTTCGGAGACGGCCGTGTAAATAGTCAGATACTCCGGCTGCGTGTGCGCCCCCGTGCGAACTTGTTTCTGGATGGGGACATGGGCCATTCATTGCATCGATGCCCCCTCCCCTTGCCCTTCTTATTCTTCTCGACGAATTCCGTCTTGCTGGGTTTGCTGTGCATGCGCCCTAGCGCCCTAACAGTCGGGGTATGTATGTGCCTCACCACTCCTAGGGTTGGAGGCCGATAATGACAAGTACTAGGAGCAACCTGTGACGGCAGTGCAATACTATAGAGTGAAGCTAATAGCGCGGAGTGATTATTCCTCGTATCATCACTCCAGCCCAGGTGGACCCATTCAGCTACTATAACGTCGTAATATACTATGATGGGTATTGATGCTGATGCCTGGCTGTACCACAGGAATCAACAGACGTAGCACAGCCGGTCAGTAATATCAAGTGTACAGACTACATCATCTGAACCGATACAGAGCAGAACCACGCTGTCGGGTCACCTTTTTTTTTTTTTTGCTTTTTCTTCCTCTTTCCTCTCTTCTCTCTTGATCTGCAGGGCTCTTCGGTATGTGCGTTGCAGCACAAGGAGTACAGAGAAGGATCAACAGCCTAGGGGAAGAGGAGAGGGGGGGGAGAAGAACCGGACCGGAACCGGGGCTCTGGGCCGCTCAGGTCGGGCGCTAAAGGACGGGAGGGGGAGATTGGGGAGACACTAACTTACCACTACTACTATAGTCTATAGATGCTCGGAAAATTAAAAAAAAAAAAAAAAGAGTAGATGGAGCTTCCCATCATCCGAGCTACTTTGTGAGGCTAGTGAAGAGGGTCGAGCTACGAGTACCTGTACCTGATGGGTATCGATACGCAGACCGTCCCAGCTGTGCGGTCGAGCGGTGGTGAAGAGAACAGGAAGAGATAGAGGGGAAAATCCTTCCTCCCTCTCCCTCTTCCCCTTCCCCTCCTCCTCCTCCTCCTTCTTTCTTTCCTCTTTTTTTTTTTCAATTTCTCTTTCCTTCTTCTTCTTCTTCTTTCTGTCGTGAAACGGACGGAATGGTGCGAGTACCGTACCGCATGCATGCCGTCACTGTGGGTTGGGATACGGAGCAGATACATGTGTAGTACGGCAACGGAGCCATGGTACGAAACGCGACATACATACGTCCTGCATGGGAGTCTTACCTGTCGCAAAAAAGGAAAAGAAGGAGAGGAGAGGAGGAGGAGGCGACAGCCGACGGTGGTGAGTTGCATAGAGCTGTCTGTGCTCGATCAAGACTATCTCGTAGGTAGTGGGAAGAGATGGAAATGCAGGTATCGTGTCATGCTGCAACTGACAGAGGGCTTGAGCAGATGCAGCTTCAACCCTCCGTATCGGTAGCCGTAGTCCCGACTAAAGGCGCAGTTCTACCGACGGATTGGCACCCATCTCACCTTTCTTTTTACCCCCTTCCCTTTCTTTCTGCACGTCCCCGACGGGAAACCCGACGACGGATGATGCTGGGTCGGGCGCCCCTCTCCCGCCCCACCTCGAGTGCTTCCCAGCTCAGCGAGGCCATTCCTCTTCGGTCACTAGGCTCGGTGGGCGAGCTGATCATATACCTGTAATGTACGGGTACCACGTAGTATTGAGTGGCACTGCCAGTATGTCGTGAGCACGGCTAGTGCTTCTCCGTCTTCTGAGTCGGCCACAAGAGATGCGGAAGTCCGCATATCCCGCCATTCCCCTGGGACCCTGGGACTACGGAGCATCATTACATGTATGGACCATCGAGAGTGGCCCCTCTTCTCTCCCTCTCTCTCCCTCCCCCTCCCTCCCTCCCTCTCCCCCCCTCTCTCTCTCTCTCTGTTTCCCTCCCCTCTTTTTCTTTCCTAGGACGATGCAGGAGGTGCGACATGCATCTCCTCGCTCAACGGGGAAGGGGTTAGGAAGTTGTGAGAAATGAGGTATTACTCAGGGATGGATGCGGGCATTGCCATACATAACCTCGTATACGCTGAGAGAGGGAGGGGGAGAGAGAGAGAGAGAGAGAGACTTGACAGTAAAATGATGGGTTATGAATAATAAAATAAATAAATGTATGTATATATATATACATACCATCTTCATGCCTGCCAAGCAAGATGAAACACTTCTTTTTTTGTCGTCACTATCTTGGGTATGGAGAGTGGGGGAGGAGGGTAGATAGGAGTTGAAGAGACAGAGACAGAGAGTGAAGGAGAGAGAGTGAAAGAGAGTGAAAGAGAGTGAAAGAGAGTGAAAGAGAGTGAAAGAGAG